GTCAATGGCATATTTTTCATAGATAGTGACATGGTTGACATTACACAAACTAAGGCTCACCTACATGAACACTTTATCACTAGAGACATGAGCAAACCTTGTTACTTCTTGAGGATTGAGTTTACTTATCAACATGGATGAATAATTTCATCTCAATGTAAGTATATGTTGAATTTGTTAGAGGATGCTGATTTATTAAGATGCAAACTTGAGTTATTATCAATTGACTCAAGACCTAATTTACAAGACACCATATCTCCTCTCTTTGAAGATGTCAATCGGTATTGACGACTTATTGGGAAGATGTCTACTTGATAGTCATTTGCCTTGACATTGTCTATATTATGAGACTTCTCAGTCAATTTATACATGAACCATGACAAACACACTAGTTATGAGCATTGCAAGTGTTGGCATATGTCAAACATGCTTTTGGGACAAGGCCTGATAAATCAACAACATGGACATCTTCAAGTTGAGCCTTACTCAAATTCAAGTTATGTAGGCGACAAGGGTGATCACAAATCTATATCTAGATATTGCATACCTTTGAGGGAACCTTTTCATTTGACATAGCAAAAAACAAATGTGGTCTCTCACTCTAATGTTGAAGTCGAATATAGGGCTATGGTAGATACTACACGTGAAATAATGTAGATACGTTCACTTCTTTAGAAGTTGTTCTTTCTAGTACACACTCCTATGACTATGTATTGTGACAACCAGATGGTAATCTTCATCGCAAGCAACCTAACATTTCATGAGAACATGAAGCACATTGATGTGGATTGTCATTATATTAGCAACAATGTCCTCAAAGGACTCATCACAACACCACATGTTGTACCATCAGAGCAGCTAGTAGATATCTTCATAAAGAGTTTGAGTGAGATATCCTATGATACTCTCTATAGTACGTTGGGAATGTTGGCCATCTATTCTTCAATTTGAGGGAGAGTGTGGGTGGGTTGTATGAGCTATATGAGCCTAATGGGCCTATTCTACTCTCTTTCTCTCTCTCTCCCTATATATACATAGGGTAGAAGACTCTCTCTCTCCTTATTCTCTTTACTCACACAAAGTTCAATAGATAAGTTATGACTTTCTTTTCTACTCACCTCTCCTAGAAACATTGTAAAAAGGGACATCAAATGTTATTGAATAGTAAAATTTTAAATGACAATGAGTTATATTGAAAACATAAAATTATACAATGCATTTTGTTGGTGGTAAAATGGGCTAACATTTATTTTTGAATGAAGTTATGTTATGAAAAAATTACAAATTCATATCTCCACAACACTTTTTTTTTTGAAGTAAATAATACTAAAAATATTGATGTGTTATTGATGATCACCTATTTTATTACATTATCGATGTGTTCCATTCAAAGTCATCAATTTGAAGGTTTATTTATTTGTTTATTTTTTAGGTTTTTGGTTTTTTATTTTATATAACAATATACAAAAATTAATTAAGTTTTATCTTATTACTAACTAATTTCGTGTGCAGAACTAGGGGCAAATCGACTATGTGAAACATACGAGAATAAAAAAAAAAGTCACATATATATTTATATTTATGATGTACTATATTTAATTTATGAATTCAAGTAATGTATTGTATATATATTTAGTTTTTATTTCTTTTAGGCCAGTCATTTAATTTGCTTGCAATGTGAAAAAAGTACTTGAATTTACAAGTACATATCATTAAATATACTTTTTAAATGATGGAAATTCAATGATGGTAATTTAATGGATAAAGTCCTTGCTTGGCGTGGCATTAAAAATTCACGAATATAAATACTATATTATTAATAATGGTCGGAAAGTATTATTTTTTTCCCCTTCAGGTTCCCCTCTACTTGCTTTCACTGTCTGTCCTCGGCACTGGGAATGCTCTCGTTCTCTCTCTAGCCTGCGGAGCCCGCGGGAGGTGATCATCGACTTCGCCTCTCCTCTTGCAGATCCATCGCACTGTGCACCCTGAGCCCTCCTTCCTTGGTGGTCCAGCGGCGTTTCCCTTTCGTTGGGTGGCCGCGGCGGGGCTGTCGTTAACCCTCGCTGGTCGGTCTGGTCCGAGGGGTCCCCGGCTCTCCGCTTTCCCCGGAAACTCTGGGATATCCTCGAGCGAGTGGACGCGGCGGTTTCCCTTTCCTCCTCTACGGATCTGGGGTTGGGCGCTCCCCGATCAGTGTCATGGAGTGGGGTAAGCCGAAGCGCACTCTCTGTTAACCGCATCTTTCTCTATCTCTCGCTCTCTTTTCGCTCACTGACACTTTATTTTTCTTTTTACTTTGTTTCCTTGTCAGGTTTCTGAAATTGTTGGACTGGGGAGTTATAACTGCTCCTTGATCCTGCTTTTCTTCTTCCTCCTATCTAGCTGCTAGGGCTCGGATTGCCTTGTCCCGTAGGCTCAGGTCTGATGGATTGAATACGTTGGGTGGTCACGGGGCTTGTATTGCTGGATGATGGCTGAGCTGCGAGGACTGGCTGTGGTATTATCTAACGTAAGCGATCACTTTTAGTATCCTAATATTTTGGCGCAGTCTTTGTTTCTTTTGTCATTATTTTTATGCGACTTATGGTAAGCACATTAATGTTTTTCTGAAATTTATTTTTCATCGGCTTGTTAATCTAATTTTTTTGTAATTTACTGGTTGGTTTCTTTACTATTTTGTCCTGCATGCTGCTTATTGGGGCATTTAGAAGGAGCGGAACAGGCGAGCCCTTTTGCTATCGATGCTCTTCACTATAGAGAGTAGTCATCTCTATGTGCTATAGAGAGGCGGAGTGGGCTTCAAACATTAGTTATTGCAAATGACTTCAGTCCCACATCTCGAGGGGTAAGGACCCCAATGTGGTCCATACCGTTTTGGGGCAGACTTCAGGACATCATTTAGTGTCTCTCTGTGATGTTTACGAGAATGGGTAGATCCCACATGAGGCAATATGTATGAGAAGTCGTAGTATGTGTCAACCCAAACTGCGCCTTCTTCTCCAGGACTCCGCAGATGTACTTTTGGGACACCAATCATATGCTTATGTAGTCCTCTCCTTCATAGTTCATAAACATGTGGTATTATCCACCTAAGAGAAAAACAGTTTCGTTTACTGATGGCACCGTTTTAGTTACAGTAGACACATATCTGCACAAAATGGCTTGAAAATTCTGTCAACTCAGTTGATTTACACTAACTCATTTCTGGCTCAGAAATGGCTCATTCTCAAATCGTATTTTGGTAAAATACAGGGCATCGGGAGACTCTGGTTTCATATTATTTGCCAATAATTTATAATATTATTTTATTCATTGCGGTGCAAACTTCTTTCCAAGTATAGCTTCGTGAAGAATTAACTTCGAAAACGGAAGGCCATATGCTGTGCTGTTTTAGTATTTTAGAAATGTCATAATGTCAAAACGTGAACGGAGCTCTTACTGGACGATTTCATTGAGACAGTGAGGAAACATATTTATCTTAACATTAGTCGAAAATTTCGGTTTATGTTGATCTAGGTCTGTCGATGCAGAAAATTTGTTATCATCATGTGGTATGGAAATATCTGTGTTGTATTGAATGTTTCTTTCTTTTGTTAATGTTTCTGGTTTTCATAGTTTTGCTTGACTTGGATGGACGTTTATTTGTTTGCCAAAATTTTATTAGAACGAAAAATTTGTACTTCGACTACTGGTGTTCACAATTGACAGCACGGGAAAACTCACAATTGGCATCCCCAGCAAGATGTATGTCATCCAGAAAAAAAGCTTTATTTCATTCTCATATCTAGAAAACATATATAGATTAAGTCAACTGACATCTGAGTTATTTTTTCACTCAGAAGGAGGTCATGAAGAATAAAAACGAAAGGTGGGAGTAGGTGAATGTAGATCACTTTTTGACCTATAGCTCATCATTTATTGAAAGCATATGGAAACTGGAATCGGAAAATCTTTGTGAGAGACATTTAATTTCATCACCCCCTTATTATTGTTCTGCAATGTCCCATGGAGACTAGCTTTTTCTCTTGCAATATTCAGAAAATCCCTTATTTAGCCTGCTCATCTTTCGTGTTGCTACTCTGTAATAATTATTTTTCTGGTTGATGTTTGCCAGAAACATATCTAAAAACCATTAACAGTTTCAGAGTTGGAAAATGCTGCTCTGTTATTTCTCAGGGATATCATCTGGGAGCTACCAATTTTATTTGAAAAGTTATTAATTGTTAAATACTCCCCTTCTTTCCAGGTTTTATCATTAAAACATTACCTTTTAAAATCCATGAATAATTGTATCTGTTGCTTGCCCATAAATCTTCACCTAAACCAGTATTCTCTTGATTCAGTTTGTGTCTTTTGAACTGAAAATCAAATGCTTTCTTTCTTCCTGCATATCTTAAGAGTTATCTTGGATTTCTGGATTGCATATGTACCATCTCAGTCGTATTATTTGGATTAGGTATTTAAGGTTGACGTCTATCATACCATGTCGTACTCATTATGGCCTTGCTTTGCTTTTTCTTTCCTTAGAGGGTCAGTTGGTTACTGATCATTATGGCTTCCTTCACTTGATGTCATCTATTTGAGTGTGTTAATTGCTTTTAATGATATAGATGAGGCCAATTTTATGTGTTATTACTGTGATAAAAACAGTTTTGGAATGTAGATTTGTATCTAGTGATGTTATGAATTGTTTTATTTTATTTAGATAGATTACTTTGTTTACTATATTATTTCTGCGTTAAGTATGAGTTAACTTTGATGTTTCCTTTTCTAGGTTATTCAAATGCACACATTTTACCCAGGATTCATTTCAACAGGCTTTACTTGATGTTTCGTGCATGAAGTCTCATGATTTCTTCCAATGATTGATGATTTCTGCCAGACTGGTGAAACTCATCATTATTCGATTTTGTCTGTCCTTTGTAACCTGGTTGTATCATACAAGCTAGGGCGCTTACTTTAAGGACAAAACTTTTTAAAAATTTATTATATTTAAGATGCCATCATGGTGGGGAAAGTCATCTTCCAAGGATGTAAAGAAGAAGACTAGCAAGGAGAACTTCATTGACACCATACATAGATTCATCAATCCAACAGTACAAAAGGGGAACACAAGATTAGGAGGGTCCTTAAGGCGATGCAGTGACACAGTTTCAGTAAAGGGTGCTCGATCAACAGTAGGGTCTAGATCACCATCACCCTCTACTCAGGTTTCTCGATGTCAAAGTTTTGCTGATAGAGCACATGCTCATCCTCTTCCACTTCCACGGGTGCCAGCCTCAGACATTATGTGCCAATCTGCTACACATGTACCAAGTCCAATTCTGCAGAAGCGTGGCAAACCTCCTCTACACTTGCCTCTTCCAACTCCGCATCATATCTTAAGCAGGCCAGATGCAATAGATAATGAGGCAGATTTGGCTACCGCTTCTGTTTCGAGTAATTGCTCCATTGAGAGTGAGGATACTCCAGATTCTCGGCTTCAGAGCCCTGTGGGGAATGATTTTGAAAATGGTGGCGGAATGGTCGTCGATAACCTTTTAAGGTATGTTTTGGTGCACTTTTGCTCATTGATGTCGATCATTTTCCTCTATATTCTTCTTATAGAATAATTTGGATGTTTCTTGTTGAAGTGTGGCCTGTAAGGGTCAATCGACAAAATTTTCCCCGAAGAATGCAAGAGAAACTGCAAAGCCAGCGAGTATTCTTTTCAACATTCGAACTGCATCTACATCACCCAAGCATGGACTTTTAGCGAATCAGGCTTATGTACAGACTGCCCGTCATGGTGCCTTTGCAAGTGCACCTGACAGTTCAATGTCAAGCCCTACTAGAAGTCCTAAGAGAGTGGTCTGTCCAGAGCAGATTCCAACTTCTGCTTTTTTGGGAGCAAAGCCGTACCATGATGTTAATCTCCTTGGATCTGGTCAGTGCTCTAGTCCAGGATCTGGTCAGACATCTGGACACAATTCCATGGGAGGAGATATGTCGGGCCAGTTGTTTTGGTTGCACAGCAGGGGCAGCACTGAATGCTCCCCAATACCCAGTCCTAGAATGACAAGTCCTGGGCCCAGCTCTAGAATTCATAGTGGTGCTGTTTCTCCATTACATCCATGTGCTTGTGGGACCGCACCTGAGTCACCTAAACAGAGACATCGCCTTCCTCTACCCCCAATGGCTAATCCTAATGCCTCTCATTTTCCCTCATCTTGTTCTGGGTCCAATAATCCTTCTCCATATCCTCGAAGCCCTGGAAGATCAGATAATCCCGCAAGCCCTGGTTTACACTGGAAGAAGGGAAAGTTAATCGGAAGGGGCACATTTGGGCACGTGTATATTGGTTTTAACAGGTATGCCTACCTCATTCTTAGACCTAGTCGGTTTGTTCTATGGTGATATTTCGTTGCTGTTAAAGAAGTTTGAGCTAAGGCTACTCATAGATTCTCTGATAATTATGCCTTGTCTGTTCTGATAATTTCTGTTAGCATCTCATAGATGCTCAAAATTCATTGGGGTAGGTTCTTATTTTTTACACTAGTGTTTCCCACTACCTGTGAATTGCCTTACTTCTGACCATGTATGTTTTTCTCTATATAAAAGTGTCATTTTCTATTCTAAATGGCGTACATCAGACCAATGACATTTATGGTTGTTGGATTTCTGACTGTGGGCCTGCTGAAGAACTGGGTCCAATTTATTCCATTCATTTCTTCTTGATGCATTCTTCTGTTGTCTGTCGTTAGCATTTATCAAGAGCGATAATTTGAAGGAATGCAAGACGTACAAGATCTAAATATTTTCTGAATTTTAGTGGCAGGATGTAGTGGGAGTTTCTTTCTGGGAGGTGTGTATGGGTTAAGGGGTACTTGACTATCTGGAAGTACGTCCCACTATTTCTTCAGGATGTTTCAAAGAAGTGGATTGTTTGTAAGATAGATGACACAGAAGTGTGATTCTACGTAATGCCGCAAGGCAGTTGAATGGAGATAATATCTCGTTTTTGAAAGGGTATTTTTGGCATATTCTTTTTAGATAGGATATGTTACTTCTAGCCTTGAAAACCTGATGATATTCGACCACTATTTTCGCTACATCTTTTGTCTTAAGTGGAACCTAGGGATTCTTTCTGCTTTCCCATGCTAATTGGTACTGTAATCTAGCATCCTTCTCTAAATTCCAATAATGTTTGGCTCAATAGGAATCTTACATAATTTTTCTGACTTTAGTGACAGTGGTGAAATGCGTGCAATAAAGGAAGTGACACTTTTTTCAGACGATGCAAAGTCAAAGGAAAGTGCAAAACAGTTGGGGCAGGTAAAAAATTATCAGTTTACGACATAAGTTATTGTGTTATATATGCGTTTTATGATTAACTGCTATACTTCTTTCTTTGAAACTGTATCTAATTTCATGCGCATATTTTCATGTAGGAAATTGCCCTCTTAAGTCGCTTGAGGCATCCAAACATTGTGCGGTATCATGGATCTGACATGGTATCATGATCTTGTTGATTTATCTAATTGATACTTCTATTAAACTTGAAATCCTAAAGTCATCTATTACCTTTTTAACTTAATTTTCTTCTATGCTCATTGTCTTTTATAGAATACTATTTATTTTATGTAGTTGCCTTTGTTGTTGATTGAGGTTATGTCAGAATTCGTTTTGATTAACCAGATCGGTTCTTACGCTTATCGTTTTTTGTCTTCCTTGTTATTTTGAACATGAAATATTGGCACATCTTATTGATTCTCCATTCGAAATAAAAAAACCAAAAAGTATCAAATATGTTTCCATATTATCTTAGTGTGGGCATATCTTGACTGCTTCTATAGCACAATTGTCTTAGTCTTAGCTTTGATTATGGAGGCTGTGTGATTGCACATGAAAGCAGCGTGTGGCTGTTTAGAGGTGTTTGCTTGTACCATGACTCCTGGTGGAGCCTTCTAGTTTCCCACCAAAATTAATGTTGGTTATATCTTACGCTTTACATTTTTACATGTCTGGTTGTGTTGGGCTTTTAACCCATAGTAATCTTCTTTTCTTTTTGGACTGGCTATGTCTTGTGCGCGGGAGTTATCAATCCTCTCCTTTTATAAACTTTGTTCTCTTTTGCGGCAGGGTGCAGTAATATTAAAACTGAAGCTCTTCCTGATTCTTAATTTGGTCAGTTCTGGTTTTGCCCTCAGTTCATAGGGAGATAGGATCCTTCACCCCACTGCGCCCAAATCGGATTGGTTAATGATGTTTTGTCCTAGAATGTCCATGGTATCTCTGACGCTTTAGGCTCTTATTACTTCCATTGTATAGGCGTGATTCTGTCCACTGGATCCAAAAAGGATGTTGCTGGGCTGCTAACACTATCATAGTGTGTTGAGAGTATTTCTGTGTTGCTGTATGAATGTTTGGTGTCCATGTTACCCCTTCAGTTTAATGCTATAAAAGGTACTTCTTTTGTAAAGGGAATCACAATGCTTCCGAGCCATGGACATCTATTCCTGTTTCCTCGATTCAAAATGATACTGCCTGTATACTCATTCTGTTATGGTGAGTCGAATCCATTTTTCATGTGTTGCTGGGTCAGGTTTGCTTTCTGTATGTAGGCTGTAGCATGCCTGTGGTATTGGGGATGCCCGTACTCATGGGGTGTGAGCAAAAGAGGTAGGGGTTGAGGAGAATCCGATTCTGTCTTCTGTATCCAAAATGATGTTTCGGGTGCACCATCATTGTTATTATGAGACAAGCGCGTATGTGTGAGTGGTAAAACAAGGGCGTCAGATGCCAACCATCTAGATGGACCTTTGCATCTGCTGCTAACTTTTTGAGTTTATGTTACGATTGTCTGGCAGGGTTTCTACATGCATCATGATTATGAGTAAAAAATCTAGATGATTCTATTATTTTCAGATGAAAATGATGCTTAGATGAAAAAATACATCGGTCATTGCCTTTTGTGATATTCTAGAGATAAATAATCGTTGAAGCGTCGTCATTATTCTTTGCTTTCTTAATTTTAATGACCTGAAAATACTGTAAAATAGTTTATTGAAAATGAATTTTTTTTAATCAATTTTTTAAGAATTTTCTGTAATGATTTAGTTGTTTATCGTTGTATTTAATAGGATGTCATTTCTTTGATAATTTAGTTGTTTGCCGCCGTATTGACATAATTAATCTGGTTTAATGAGACAAAGAATGACATTCAGTTAATTTTCGCTACCTACTCTATCGTTAATCTGGTTGAATTTATTTCTTGAACAGTTAGATGATAAATTATACATCTATTTGGAGTATGTTTCTGGTGGATCCATCCACAAACTTCTCCAAGAATATGGGCGATTTGGTGAGCTGGCAATTCGCAGCTATACTCGGCAAATCCTTTCTGGTCTCGCATATCTGCACGCCAAGAACACTGTTCACAGGTGTGCCTAACATTTTAGTTTTTCTGGATAACTCAGCTCAAATGTGTGTAATTGATTGCGTGCGTCATAACAGCATTTATCTCTTTCTTGATAATCTCTTGCTCTATCTTCAACTTCTAGAATCATTGTTCTTGGCTGACCTCTATGTTTTGTTCAGAGACATAAAGGGTGCCAATATTCTTGTGGATCCTAAAGGACGCATAAAGCTTGCAGATTTTGGGATGGCAAAACATGTAAGTTGTCAGTTGGTCCATGCATTATTACTTTCATCTATACTATAATACCTATTGCCATGATGTGGGAATCACATTTGTAGTAACTTTCTTAAAGTTGTTGATTTTGCTTAAATTTCACAGGGATGACTTTCTTTTTTTACCTTCTCTCGTTATAATTCCATTTGGATTGTTATTTTCCTTTTGGTATTCATTTTCAAGTAATGAAGATTTGGAGAACGAGAAGCAACCTCATGTAACAAATAGGGGAATCCTTTGGGGTATACTTTGGTTCCCTTTCCTTTGGAGCTGAGCGCTGTTGTGCTAGTTAAGAATGTTTTGAAGTATGAGCTATATTGGTTCTCAGAATAAGTTGATTGGGTTCGGAATTTCGGGAGGGTGCTATTCTCTATCTTCCTCGAAATTAGGGGAAAAAGAAAGAAGAACCAGCTGTAAATTGACTGAGTTGACACGGATTATCTACTTTCTCTCTGTCACAGTTGTCCAACTTTCTTTCTGCCAACATGCATAGCCTCCGAACACCTAGAGAACGTACATACATGTTCTCTATTAGTCACATTCTATATAGAGTTTGACGACCATGAATTTATGACGTGCAGCCCTTTGCCCGAAGTTGCCATTTCTTTCATTCTGTAATTTTTAGAAATTAGCCTTAGTTCCTACTTTTCAAATCTTCTTCAAGACCAACTGGAACCTACTTGCATTCCTTATTCCTTCTGTGCCTCCTGATGAAATTGGCTACGCCTGCCTCCTCATTCCTTATTTCTTTTACGACTGGTAAATGAAAGGAGATAGGATCAGATTATCCTACCAACTTGCTGATGCTGATAAGTGTGCTTCATTGTATCCTTATCATCGTAGCACCTAGGGCATCTTGTCTGAATCACCTGTCTACAACCAAGGTGAGCACTTGTTTGGAGAAGCTTATGTGACGCCTGTTGCTTGGGAACAGGACTCTGGGCAGCTCCTACAAAATTTGTGATCATCAGTAGACTTCTGTTGCGGTACAGAACATTTTCACTTAGCAAATACTTAGCAATTTTCTTCTGGTATGCAGAATATGACACAGATACTCGCATGTTCTGTGGTTTTGAGAGGGGTAACTGATTTCCATTCAGCAGTAAAATAGGAGATTTGATAGCATGCTTCCAGAGTACATCACAGTGAAATGAGGCTATCATCTTAGACTTTTGAGTGATCTCCCCTTGATTTGATAGAATGCAAAACTAAATTTCCCAGGGGATGATTTCCAACTCTAGTTTTGCAGTTCATATTGGTTAGCAGCTTCTGCCATCCTGTACTATGTGGACGGGCTTGCATTTTTCTCTTTTTCAGTCTCTCTACACACACACACACTAAGTTTGTGATGGAATTCCAGCTGTCCATTGTCAAAATCCTTGTCTCCTTGTTGTTGGTTATTTTATTTCAAAGCTTACGACTTTCCTCGTATCCAACTTCTTTTGTAGATTACTGGACAGTCATGTCCCTTGTCATTCAAAGGAAGCCCTTATTGGATGGCACCAGAGGTTCTCTATTCACTACTATTTCTACTTAATTCTAGCACAAATGTTCTTGGTATTATTTCTCAATTGCACATTTCATTCAGGTAATTAAAAATTCAAATGGGTGCAATCTTGCTGTTGATATATGGAGTCTCGGATGTACTGTCCTGGAGATGGCTACATCAAAGCCACCTTGGAGCCAGTATGAAGGGGTTTGTTATTTCTGCATTGAACTCTTGGTTTTTATTATTTTCATTTTTCTTTGGTTGTCTAGATAATCTGGAAAAAATGTTATGCAACTGAAGTTAGCTTTTATTCTTTCTATATTAAAATCCTCGCAGCCATTATATCAAGATAGTAACACCAATCTGAGAATAAGAAATGATTCTCAATGTTAATGTACGCATCTTCTCACCAGTGTTACCTGTGAGTTTTTCCCTTTTTCTATGAAGCATAGCACATCTTGCCGAACAAGGCCGATACCTTCATCATGAGAAGTCATTTGCTGTACTATGTGTTAAGCAGTATTGAGTGCTTTCGTTTTAAAATAAATATATTCATTTTCACGTCTGTCCATTCCAAGCTGCTATATCTTTTTCGTTTCTTTTTTCTTTTGTGATACTGACTGTATATTAATGAACATGTCAGTTAGGAAGTAGCTTGGTATCCTTGTTTAACCTGTGAAATAGTATCTTGTCGTGGGCCAGGACCCAGTAAATCTGGGTTCAGGTCATGTTTTCAGGACTCTATTCGCCAGTTTACGTCATCTCAGACTATGCTTATATTTAATGTCTACTTTGCTAAGTTTTAAAACTAAAAACAGCTATGTAGTGTATCAAACGTGCAGTAGATGTGATCATAATAAATAGAGGGTTCATGAAGTTGAAAAATGTGCCGGTTAGGTTCATGAATTCAAATGTCATTGGAATTAAGGACGTCAATATCCAAGTATAAAGTACCATGCTTCCAGTATGAAGTCAGGAGAAGAATATGCCTACCTGACACTGCATGTGCATTGTTTCTTGAGGATCATACATCTGGATGAGGCCTCTTTGGGGTTAAAATAAGTGCGGTAGGCATACTAAACATACAAGAAAAAATAACGTCATATTTTTTTGGTATAGTTTTCAATGAATTATGGTCCCCATTGCACTGCCAGGATAACGTATCAAAATTATGCATGAGTTATGTTAAAGTGAGACCAAATAATGCCTAATCCGAGCTTTTGGTTATTAAGAATTAACACCGCGGCTAATGCTTTGATATGTGAAGCACATGCAAATGAATAAGAATGGTCCTTAGCAGCCATAGTAGTTGTTGAATCTGGTGCCTGGTTTCGAGCTCTCAAATCTCTATGGTCTTATATGTGTTGTTTTCATGGTGATAATGGGAAATTGGTGTTTTTATGAGTGTGTAAGTTTGTCAACCATTTTAGAAAGATAGACATTTATTAGTTCATCTTCTAGTTGGAGGCCACATTATTTTGTCTTTTTTTCTTTTTTGCTTAGAATATTATTTATGAAGGGCATCAACCCAGATATTGTTATCTTGACGGGTGTACATTTAAAATGATCTCATTAGAAAAAACCCGGGGTCCTGAACAAAGGTAGTATGTCGCAAGTGGATTAGGAATGAATAAGTTGGCTTCAGGGATTAATAGGAGCTTACTCAGCTTCATATCACTCCCAAAGTTGGGAAGTTTGAACTTTGGGATGATTTAGTTTGCAGCAGGGGGGGAAATAGATCCTTTCCCTTGGCTGGTTGCCATTTTTAAGTGGTTTATCTTTTCTTTTGTTACGGCAGTGGTGTTTTTCTGAAGGAGATGAAGTTTTAAGGAATACATAAAATCTCATGGTAATAAAAAAGAATAATTTGAAGTGTAAAACTACAGCTTCGTATTCTGGAACTTGTATACGTGCCTGATACGAACTGGTGAGATGGGTCAGATATTGTTGAATAACATGTTGGCTACTCGTTACTAATGCCATTTTCTTTCACTAGATTAGATGCGTAGGTGTTCTTATAAGGAATCAGTAAATAAAATAAAATTGGATGAGCTTACAGTGTGTTTCATTTCATGTTTCCATATCTGCATTCTTCTGATATTTTGTTTACTCCTATCTGAAGATTGCGGCGATGTTCAAAATCGGGAATAGCAAGGAGCTTCCAACAATCCCCGATCACCTCTCTGACGAGGGGAAGGATTTCGTACGACAGTGCTTGCAGCGAGAACCATCCAACCGTCCCACCGCTGTTCAGCTTCTAGGGCATCCTTTTGTGAGAAACGCGGCTCCTATTTCAAGGCCTATCGCTGGGTCCGAGACAGTGGAACCTCCAGCAGGCGCTCCTTCCACAGCGGGTTCCAAGGTAATGTTTTCCCTTTCTACATCCACTTTACCCTGGTGGGTTCATGTTAATGCTAATGCTGCATTATTATGCGCGTATTTGCTTTTAATTTCCAATAGCTATCGGTTTAAAAGCCGACAACCCCTCCTAAATTTTTTTTGGTATTATTTTACTGGTACTGAGCTGTGAGGAAGCCGCATTCTTGTAAATTATCTCAAATTTGTCATCCATGAGCGTGTTATCTATCCTCTACTTCAGGCATCTATCATTTGGCTGAATGCCTAAACTACATCCCATGTTTGGATTTGATTGTACCGTGGTCAGCATTTTTCTATTTCAATTCCTATAATTTCCATTTTGAAAGTTGATATCGTACATTGTGCCAAAGATCTGAGCTCCCCTGCCTGTCAAGGTGTACCCACGGGGATACTCTTGCTTCTTCTTCTTTTTTTTCTTTTCTTTTTCCAGATTTTACGATTCGGAAATAAATTCATGCTTTCTGATTATTTATCGTCCCCATTTCATCACATTTATGTATTTACTTATGTATTTATTTCTTGTTTGATGATGGCATTCAGAGTAGTGGACAAGGAAGGAATTTATCTTTCGTGGATGTGCAAGGGTTGGCAATCCAACGACTTAAGGCAACGAAGACCAGCTCCACATCCAGGTGATTTCATGTTTTTAAGGGTCCCCTGGATCCATTGACTTTGGTCAGAATTTCGGAAAAAATGGTGAGCTAGGCCTTGGGCAAGATGGGGAAGATACGATGCAGAGATCATTGCTCACTTCATTGATTCAGTACATCTACTGGGTGAACTTGTTGATCCACCTCTTATGAACTTGTTCTTCCCCTTTTAGTTTCTCCTCGATTTTAGTTCATTTCGCTGCAGATTTCCTCCACTCTTTCCGTTTCCTGCAGAGAAAAATCTAATCCGAGTGTTCTTCCGATCTTGCTTGCAGTGGCTGCCAGATGAGGAACATGTCCTGCCCGGTGTCTCCCATCGGTAGCCCCCTCCCAGGTTCCTTCGCCACCCACCATGCCAGCGGGAGGCTGTCCCCCTCCCCCATATCCAGCCCTCGGACCACATCAGGTTCCTCCACGCCGCTCACTGGCGGCACGCAGCGGTCTCCCGGGTTCCTCGCCGACAGCGCCCCCAGGGCCCAGAAGGTCCCCGCCGGCGTTCATGTCAACTGGCCCACCTGCGCCGACCCCGGCCTGGAGCTCTACTGGGGGCTGCACCAGCAAGAGCGATCCTCTGGGCGGATCGTCCTGTCCGATCAGGTCTCCAGGCAGCTCCTGCAAGAGCATGTGAAGCCGAAGCTGCCGCCGCCGCTGCTGGGGCCTGGTCAGGCGATGGGTATCTGAGTTCACCGGAGCTGAGAAAAAAAGCCCTGGAGATCATCTTCATCGGTGGAGGAAGGGTTTCAATCTATTAGAGCTAGGCGATCATTTTGTGCAATAAAAAGCTTGAGGGAGTGATGATGAAATAGTGGAGCAGTTTCTTTTTTCAGTGGGGCGCCTGCTTCCGCCGAGCCCGACGTGGCCTTTCTTCGGTGAGCCTTAATTTCTTTCTTCCCCCCATTTGCTCCGAGTTTTCATCCTCGTTTCATATTAGTATCTTGATTATTACTACTACTAGTTATTTATTTTGGTTCCCTTCAATGAACGCCCGGTCCTACGATGCATTCCAACTATCGTGATTATGAATTACCAGGCTCTCTTTTCTCTCCCCCCTTTTTTTTTCTTCTCCAATCATCCCTACCCTCGTTGTTTCTCGTTCAGTATTATTATTATTATTATTATTATTATTATTATTTTGGATCCCCTCGATGAATACCTGTAAATTATTACTACTTCAGGTTCTTGTTTGATACCTCAAACATCAGCTTTTATTATTATTACTGTAAATTATTCTCGAACCCTAATTTTATTTTTATTTTTCCCGTTTTTATTTTTCTCCAATCATCACTTCGTACCTACCTACCCTCTTCGGTTCTTGTTGCAGACTGGGTGTCTTGAGAAGTTCGTCCTTCAGGTGTGGTAGTCGGAGAACACAGTACACTCGGCGCTGCGCAGAAGAGGAAGACAGGAGCAGGAGACCGGGAAAAAAAAAACGAAAAATAATTCCATTTGTGACGGGTGAATTGCAATTTCCAGCTCATCATATTGCCCCTGTACAGAGGCCCGGAGCAGGCAGGTAAACGGGTTGGGCCCACCACCCTCTGCCGCGGGTCAACCCACCTCTTCCATCCAGTGAACACTGCCTAGAACATCTACTGACATCTACCTCCGGCCACCACGGTCGTCGGGGGTTTGACTCGGTGCGTTTGACGTGCCGGAGTCAACGTCAGTTATTATCATTGACTGTGTTATCAGAGGTAGCTTGGATTCTCTCGGCAAGGCGAGGCTGTTAATGGGCCGGGCGAGGTGTAAGCCCGACCGGGAGTGCCCAGGCCTTAAAAAATTAGGCCCAGAAGCAAGTCAAGTCCATTGGAGAGAGAAGCTTTCCGAAAGAGCGTGTATTGGGTCGGGCCCACCGTCGGATGTGGATGCCGGATTACCTATCGGGTCGAAGTAGAACAAACAAACCCTTCCCTTCACGCTCCCTTACCTTCTTAAACAGAATCTACCGAGTGTAAGATGCTATCCGCAGCCGTCGTCTCCCTGGCTGCGCCGGCGACTTCTTGAGAGCCTCCGGCGGAGCATGGTGGCGTGCCGCGGCCGCTGCCGTGGAGGTGTCGGAGGGGAACTGAGCTCTCCTTTCGGCCTAGGAGGAGGGGGAGCTTCGTCGGCGTCTCAGATTCAGAGCCAGAGGGCGGGGGTGGAACCCTAAGAGACACGGTAATCGACTTCTCCACCCCCTAGGTTTTGGGTGTTTTCCGGCGGAAGAGATTGGGGATTACTTCTGTCCCCCTTCCGGTGGGGAAATGCTTTGCGCGTGACTCGTCGATCGCAACTTCCTGCAAATTCTACCGCCGGCGGGTTGATTCGGCTGGTTCGATCGGGTGGAAGGAAGAGATAGGATTCTCTGGATGGAGGGTGGACTTGCGGGCGGCGGCGCGATGGGGGACTGCAGGAAGATCAGGAACATCTGCATCCTCGCGCACGTCGACCACGGGAAGACGACGCTGGCGGATCACCTGATCGCCTCCAGCGGCGGCGGGCTGGTCCACCCGAAGCTGGCGGGGCGGCTGCGATTCATGGACTACCTGGACGAGGAGCAGCGGCGGGCCATCACGATGAAGAGCTCCTCGATCGCGCTGCAGTACCAGGGCTACTCCGTCAACCTCATCGACTCCCCGGGGCACATGGACTTCTGCAGCGAGGTCTCAACCGCCGTGCGGATGAGCGACGGCGCCCTCGTCCTCGTCGACGCCGTCGAGGGCGTCCACATCCAGACCCACGCGGTCCTCCGCCAGGCCTGGGTCGAGAAGCTCACCCCCTGTCTGGTGCTGAACAAGATCGACCGGCTCATCACCGAGCTCAAGTTCACCCCCATGGAGGCCTACACCCGTCTGCAGAGGATCGTCCATGAGGTCAACGGCATCATGAGCGCCTACCGGTCGGAGAAGTACCTCTCGGACGTGGACTCCCTCCTCGCCGGGACCGGCGGTGGCGGCGGCGACCTGGAGCTGGTGGAGGACGAAGGGGACGACGAGGACACCTTCCAGCCGCAGAAGGGGAACGTCGCCTTCGCCTGCGCGCTGGACGGGTGGGGCTTCTGCATCGGCCGATTCGCCGAGATCTACGCCGCGAAGCTCGGGGCGAGCGCCGCCGCCTTGCTGCGGGGCCTGTGGGGGCCGCGCTACTACAACACGAAGAGGAAGATGATCGTCGGGAAGAAGGGTGTCGACGGCGCAGGCAAGGACCCCGAGCCCATGTTCGTGCAGTTCGTGCTCAAGCCCCTCTGGCAGGTCTACGAGGCGGCACTCGGCGACGGCGGCGACAGGGGGGTGCTCGAGAAGGTCATCAAGAGCTTCAACCTCTCCGTCCTTCCCCGGGAGCTCCAGAACAGGGACCCCAAGCTCGTCCTCCAGGCCGTCATGAGCCGGTGGCTCCCGCTCTCGGAGGCCGTCCTCTCCATGGTCGCCAAGTGCATGCCTGACCCCGCCTCTGCCCAGTCCCTCAGGATCTCCCGCCTGATGCCCAGGAGGGAGGAACCGGCGGCGGTGACCGGCGGCGGCGGCGCCTCCGAGATCATCTCCGAGGCCGAACGCGTGAGGAGCTCCGTCGAGGCCTGCGACTCCGGCGACGACGCTCCCTGCGTCGCCTTCGTCTCCAAGATGTTCGCCGTACCCTTCCGGATGCTCCCTGCCGGCGCTGCTCCGGCGGACGACGCCGCCGGCGACTCTGAGGAGTGCTTCCTGGCCTTCGCGAGGATCTTCAGCGGGGTCTTCCGCGCCGGGCAGAGGGTCCTCGTGCTCTCGTCCCTGTACGACCCGCTCAAGAGGGAATCCATGGAGAAGCACATCCAGCCGGCAGAGCTGCACTCTCTGTACCTGATGATGGGGCAAGGTCTGAAGCCGGTGGCGGCGGCGAGCGCCGGCAACGTGGTGGCGATCCGAGGTCTGGGCAGGCAGATCCTGAAGAGCGCGACGCTCTCCTCCACCGTCAACTGCTGGCCATTCTCGAGCTTGATGTTCCAGGTGGCCCCGACGCTGAAGGTGGCCATCGAGCCGTCTGACCCTGCGGACATGGCGGCGCTCGCGCGGGGGCTGAGGCTGCTCGACCACGCCGACCCCTTCGTGGAGGTCACCGTCTCCTCCAGAGGGGAGCACGTCCTCGCCGCCGCCGGCGAGGTCCACCTGGAGAGGTGCATCAAGGACCTCAAGGACCGGTTCGCGAAGGTAAGCCTGGAGGTGTCGCCGCCGCTCGTCTCTTACAGGGAGACCATCGAAGGGAACGCCCCCAGCCCGCTGGAGGCCCTGAAGGTCGTCCTCTCCGGCGCCGGCGACGGCGTCGTCGAGAGGACGACTCCCAATGGCCGCTGCCTTGTCAGAGTCCAGGTTATGAAGCTCCCCGGTTCCCTGACCAAGGTCCTCGACGACGGCGCTGCCGTCCTCGGACCCGTCCTGGAAGGTAAGGAGAGGGTGGCCGTTACGGGAGCAGGCGGAGGAGAACACAGACAAAGCGACGATTCGGCGGTGGAGGCGCTCAAGAAGAGGATCTTGGACGCCGTCGACAGCGAGGTCGAAGCTGCCTCCGAGCACCTCGACGGAGACAAGGTGGAGAGATACCAGAGCTCACTGCTCCTCCTCCTTCGGAGGATGTGGGCGCTCGGCCCGAGGCACGTCGGCCCCAACATTCTCCTCGTTCCTCCTTCGGGTGCGGCGGCGGATTACAAGGAAGGCATTCTGATAGCCGGGCCGCCGCAGGTGTCGGAGAGATTGGGGTTTCTCGGCGGCGGCGGTGGCTCCGATTCAGGCGCACAGTACACTGCCGCCACCGGCGCGGAGAACGCGGGGGAGTTGCTGAGCTTGGAAGCCGAGGGGTTGAAGAGCATCGTCGTCTCAGGTTTCCAGCTCGCGACGGCGGCGGGCCCTCTGTGCGAGGAGCCCATGTGGGGCCTGGCCTTCCTGGTGGAGGCCTTCCTCTTCCCCGGCGCGGCGGAGCAGCAGCAGCAGCAGCAGCAGCAGGACCTGTACGGTCAGGCCATGACGGCGGTGAAGGAGGCCTGCAGAGCCGCCGTGCTCAGGTCGAAGCCGCGACTGGTGGAGGGGATGTACTTCTGCGAGCTGAGCACGACGACGGAGCACCTGGGCCCGATGTACGCCGTCCTGTCGCGGCGGCGGGCGAGGATCTTGAAGGAGGAGATGCAGGAGGGGTCCCCGCTGTTCACGGTGCACGCGTACGTCCCGGTGGCGGAGAGCTTCGGGTTCGCCGACGAGCTGCGGCGGTGGACCTCAGGGGCGGCGAGCGCGCTGCTGGTGCTCAGCCACTGGGAGGCCCTGCCGGAGGACCCCTTCTTTGTGCCGAAGACGGAGGAGGAGCTCGAGGAGTTCGGGGACGGCGCCAGCGTCCTCCCGAACACCGCCCGCAAGCTCATCGACGCCGTCCGCCGGCGGAAGGGCCTCCCCGTCGAGGAGAAGGTCGTCCGGCACGCCACCAAGCAGAGGACACTGGCCCGCAAGGTCTGAACGCCGCCGCCACCACGCCCCAAGGGTATTCACTCAGATTCCTCTCCTTCCTCCGGCAGGTTTCTCTGAGTGTACACCCTCTGAATTAACAATCCCTTCGTTCATCACAGAGGAACCAGCCCCCCTGTTATTTATAATCAATCCGTTTATCACAGTGGGCATGGATCCCCTTCGTCGGTAACCAATCTCAGAAACCTCATCCGACCATGACAGGCGCTTCCCGCAGACGATGTATGTATGACCAATGAAGAGCAAGGGGGCAAAGCCGGGAGTTTCAGACAGGAGAGAGAGAGAGAGAGAGAGAGAGAGAGAGAGAGAGAGAGAGAGAGAATAGAATGGCGGCGATTCTCCTTGTATCTTCCTTAAGAGGAAGTTCTGCAAGACTCAGCCTCGCTTCCCCCCGGTCAGATGGGCGGCGGGGGGGGTCATCGGAGACATAGGGGTGGGGGGAGGGTGGGGAAGGAGGTCAGATCGCCGCCGCCTCGTCACATTGGCGACCAGGTCGACCCCAAAAGCTGCCCTAGCAGATTAGTCACCTGAAGAAGGAAGTAAGAATTCATCAGAGCCCGCTAGAAGCCCCAGACAGAGGGGAGAGGGGAAACCAGGGCCGTGCAATGGAGGAGCCCGCCGCTGGCTATGGCGTACCTTCCTCTGGGGGTCCTGCTGAAGCGAGGGCTCGGTGGCGGCAACCGCGGCCGCGGCGGCGGAGGCGTCGTCTATGGTGATCTCCTCGTTGATGTTGATGGCGTCTCGCTGGGCGGCGCCGCGGGTGAGGATGCTCTCGGCGGCAAGGATCTCCGAGAAGGCCTTGTCCATGGCGGCCTTGGCCACCTTGTAGACCTCCGCCGATGAGGCTCCCTTTTCCGCCAGCCTGATGGCGTCCTGGCAGAGGTCGTTGTACCTCGAAGCCATAGTTCCCTGCGCCGCGGCGGCGGTGGCAGTTGCGGTGGCGCCGGCGCCGCTGCCCAGGGAGGATGTCCGGGCCTTGGCGTTCCTGGTCCAGCGGGGGAGGAAGCAGTCGTCGGGCAGCACCCGGAGGTCGACCATGAGGAGGACCCCGAGGACGTGGCGGCAGAGGATTCCGGCGAACTCGAACTTGCCGCAGCTGCAGGTGGCGGCCCGCTTGCCGGCGTCGAGGGAGACGACGAAGTTGTCGAGGGAGTCCTCGTCCCGGGCCACGCTGTACTTGGAGACAGCGCCGTCCTTGATCTTGTAGGCGTTGTAGGCGAGGCACTCAACGAACTCGTCCTGGAACCTCTCGAACAGCTCTCCCGTGTACACCTCCGCCGCCTGCTTCTCAATGGGGGACGCCGTCTTCAGCGCCGGCCGCCGGAGCAGCGTCTCGCAGTCAGCCGCCGCCTCCTTCTCGTGCCGGGCCGCCATGGCGAGCTCGAACTGCGTCAGGAAGACCTTAAGGGAGGTCTTGGTGTTGAAGTAGCGCTTGTAGACGTCGTTCACCGTCTCCAGCTTCTGCGCCGGAGAGACCTCCGCGAAGAAGGCGTCCCGCAGGTAGAGCGGCACCCACCGCTGCCGGATGTTGAACAGCGCTTGCAACCAGGTGTTCTTCCTCAGGTCGTACCGGTCGACGATGGCCACCCAGGAGCTCTCGAAGGACCGCACCGTCTCCGAGTGGATCACGCAGCTCTCCAGCTCCTCCCGTAGCGTCGGGTGGGAGGCGTAGGCGCCAGCGAGCTTCTGCTTGGTGCGGCTGAGGATGAGCCACTTGCAGAACCGGTGGCGCGTGCCGGGGAACACCCGTGCCACCGCCGCCGCCATGGCGCGGTTCTGGTCGCTGGTCAGGGACGCCGGCTGGCGGCCCCCCATGGCCTCCAGCCAGGTCTCGAACAGCCACGCGAAGGAGAACTCCGTCTCGTCGATGAGCAGCGCGCAGCCAAAGATCACCGGCTGCAGGTGATGGTTCACGCCGGAGAAGGCCACGAAGGGCAGCATGTACTTGTTCTTCTTGTATGTCGTGTCAAAGGTTACGGCGTCCCCGAAGCAGGCGTACGCCGTCCTCGCCCTCGCGTCGGCCCAGAACGCGTTCGTCACGCAGCTCCGGTTGTCCACCTGCAGCGCGTAGAAGAAGCCTGGGTTCTCCGCCTGCCGCCGCCGGAAGTAGTCCAGCAGGCCCTGCGCGTCGCCGCCCTCCCCGAAGGCGGTCTGCCGGAGCAGCGTGGTGGCGTCGGAGGCGACGATGGTGGCCCTCTCCGCCGCGTCGATGAAGCCCCTGGCACGGAGATACCCCGCGCGGCTGCAGGTGCCGAGGACGTGGGTGTGGGCCGTCTCGAGCTTGGAGACGACCCACCGGTCCTTGTCGCGGATCACCTCCATGAAGGCCTTGCAACCCTCGCGCATGGAGATGCGCTCCCGCTTCCGCACCCCCTCGCCGGAGGCCTTCTTCCGGTAGACGCCCTCCTTGGAGCAGACGAACCGCTTCATGATCAACACCTCCTGCACGCCCTTGGACCGCCGCGACCGTCCCACCCGGAAGGGGAACCCTAACCGGCGGGCGTACTCGTTGTACAAGTTCTTCGCCGCCTCGTCGGACTCGAACTCCATCCCCAAGAACGGCTCCGCCACCCCGCCGCCGCCGGTGCCCGGGGGCTCCGCCGCTGCTGACTTGGCGGCCTCCAGCGGTGGCGCCACCGGGGGGAAGCTGTGGTCGCCGTCGTCGCTGACCTCCTCGCCGGGGCGGGCGTTGGCCTCCATCAGGATGCGCTCCACGTAGTCGTCGTCCATCAGGTCGTCGCCGTCGCTCTTGGCCCCTTCCATCATCAGCCTCAGGAATCCGGCGCCGGCAGACATCCAGATGGACAGATAGATGGACGTATAGCTGCTTCCGATCTAGGGCGGGGGAGAAGAACCTAAGACAGAGAAAACGAATTAAGCGATCCGGTGAGATGCTCGGCGCAGCAATGGGGGATCGATCACGTCGCCGCCGATCTCGACAGAGAAAGAAACACTGAAGCGTGAAGCTTGCTGTTCGTCGTCGAGAAGCAGAGACGAAAGCAAATCATGCTCGATTGAAGCGCTGGTTGGTTTTCCCAGCTTTCCGCAGCTGTTCTTCCAACAAAACTACATCTCTCGACGAAGACGACCTCCCCCCCCCCTTTCACCCTCCCGGGTCCTGTCTCCAACCTCTGCTCTGTCCTGCTCGAAGATTGAGAGGGCGAGAGAGAGGGGGATGGATAACCTCCTCAAACAGTCGCAGACCAGATGGTGAAGAAATTCAAGACGGGGAGAGCAAACCCTAGAACGCTTGCAGTCTGAGCATCCGATCGATCTTAATCCGGCCATAGATCAGAAACATCAGGCCAGCGAGATTGGGAACTAACTGAAAGAGAGGTCCGACATCGGTGAGAACAACACGAGCTCGGGGAGCAGCCCCGGGGAGACGAATCGGCGAGAGAGAATGTCCCTCCGCAATGCCATGCCGCCCCGGCGACGCAACATTCAGGGAGAAGCTCCAAGGAAATGAGAAGCAGTGGGGGCGTACCTGGCGTCCCCGGGAGGGGGGAGGTCGGGGACGAAGGAAGGGGCGGAGGAAAACCCTAGCTCTTCCGCAGGCGGCGGAGGCCGGCGTAGGCCGGCCGGCGACAGGCTCCCGGCGGGAACCCTAACTTCACCGGGTGGTGATCCGACTCGCGAGAAGGGAGCGGGGTTGGCCGGCAGGGAGTGGAGGCGGTCCTCTCACCGGCGGGGGAATCCGAAGCGCCGCGCGGTCGTAGACTCGATGGCCTCGCAGAGCAGAGGTACCCTAATCCCACCGCCGTGCCCTACCCTCCATCCCTCACTAGTGGACCGGACCTGAAAAGCGGGCCACTAGTTGGGCCTGGAAGCATGCATGCTGATCTATTTTTTTTCCATCTCTCCTGTCCTCCTTGCACTGTTGGTTCTGGACCAGAGTCGTCCAGGCTGTGATTATCCACGCGTTCATGTTAGATAACACCTTCCTAAGGAAAACTCGTGGAAAATTAGATATTGTGATGATTAATACTCCTAAACCACAAAATTAGGAGGAATATTATTTCGTTTCATATAATTTGAAATTTTTAATTTAGCCAATAAAAAAATACCAGCTTAAAAGGATTGGAGACTCTTTAATTAATATTGAAAAATGTAGAATTTTTATTTTGCTAATTTTGCAGTTTAACACTATGTAGTGTCTATTGAGATTGAGATTTTATGTTTATTGATTATTTTATTTTTCCTTTGACATTTTTTTTATTTATTAGTTTGAAAACTCTAATAATCAAGTAAGGGATACTCTTCTTTTCCTGCTCCAATTTTGCTTTTTAAAAAAATATTAATTGTCCCTGAGAAAAATAGAAATGTGCATCCTTTAGATCCCTCACCCAGTCAAGAGATTTGAGGGATCTCTACTTCCTTATAATAGATGCATTTGAACCATTCATACGTAGAGTAAACAACTGACAAGATGACGCATAATCTGTTCTTTCGGGAGAACATAACAAAGCACACATTTTTTCTCGTAGAAAAAATGACCAACAAAAAATAGATGGCAGGTGATTAGGAGGAATAATAAATCAAGTACAATGAATTCTAGACTTGTATAAACACAGCAGTGCATAATATCATTGGCATGTTGTTTTTTGTATCCCCTCCTCCTCCCATGAATGCACGCAAATCAGCTGTGATGTTCATTAGAGCATGCTGAGAAGAAAAGTAGTTACCATCATGGGGTTGCTAGTTTGCTAATTTATTCATATTTCTTTAATTTTTACCTCAAAAGCTCGTTTTCATCCTCCCTTGGAGTCAATGAAAGAGTTGGCCCATTCTCCAATGCTTTCTATGGCTATGAACTTAATCTTTGCAACCTTATCTCAGAAAGTATGACAGACAAAGCTCAGTGTTCAAGGTCTTCTATAATACTTTTGCAAGAACCCTGATTCTTTGGAGGCATAACCTGCTCACATGTGGTTTTTGACGCAATAGTTTGATGTGACGGCCTCCCATTGTATGCGCATACAAAGTAGATATTAGGGTTCTAGGCGCCGTGGCACATGAAGCATATTAGCCCAAATGTTCCTTATCCCATTGATAAACTTTAACCCTTTTAATCTTTTTATGTTTTAAATTTTCCATTGAAATCATCAAACTAGTGAGCAAAATCTCTCCAATCTGTGTTAACGGAGCGGAGCGTAAGAAATGAATCCCATTGGATACACAAACAGCTGCGATCTAAGTCCCTCCCTCTCCCTCCTCTTGGGTCGTAACCCATGAACCCATAAACCCGAGAGAGAGAGGGGAGGGAGGAGAGAGGTTCACGTTGGCGGGCAGAGAGTTTCCGCTCCGAGCTCCGCCCGAATCTGCCATCATATCCACCGCTGAGTTGTCGGCAAATAGAGGTCAAATAGACACTCCTCCACTCTCCCCCCTCCCCGCGGATCCGGGGCCGGGCTTAACAAACAAACGACGATTTCTACCGGAACGAACCCTCGCTTGTGACCCACAGGACCCCTCTCTCCCTCCGTGTATGTGTTTCGCTGCCTACACCCTTAATCCCTCTCCCTACCACTATTCAATGTCTTCTCTCCCTCTCTCTCTCTCTCTCTCTCTCTCTCTCTCTCTCTCTCTCTCTCTCTCCCCCTCCGAAACGCGTCCGTTTTTCCCACCTTCGTGGGAAGTTTCTATCAATAGGCGCCCGTTTAATCCCCAGTCCTTTTTGTTGTCCTCAAGCTCTTCTCTAAACTTCATAATGCGAGTCTTGATCACCGACATAGGTTTCTTTTTATAGACGGAAGCAAGAGAGAGAGAGAGAAGACGACGACGACGATGACGATGAACCAGCGTTTTACGGCGGCCATTTTGATTTGTTCCTTGAGCAAGAAGGCGACGTCCTGAGAATTCCGGATCTCTTTCTCTGTGTGTCGTAAAACAATTAACAATCCAGCTTGTGCTTGATGGAGGGTGGGTGGGTTTGAGGGCATCTGAGTCGGAGGTACGCATGAGCCTCTCTCTCTCTCTCTTCCCCTCGCTCTAACCTTTTTCTTTTGATTACTCTACGTCGATCAGTCAAATGTCATCCTTTGCGTTTGACCACCTCTCTGATTTGTTCTTTGTTCGATCTGTCTTTCATCAAAATTCCCTATATCTTGATCATTTTTGAATTTATAACGGAGAGTCACGAACCCAGAGGACGAAAATCAAGAATTCAGTCATTTGGACGAGAGAGGATTGAATTTTTTTTGGTCTGAGATTAATTTTGGGAACAACACATCCAACAGATGGGATTTTTGATCTGGGTTCGCTCGGTCTCCTTGCTCGTCTGCTCTCCCAAATCTAGGGTTACGAACCCAGCCCCCAGAGTAAGCGGCTGTCTTCTTCGAGGACTCATCAGAGCCGGCAGGGAGGTGGGATGGGCTGCTTCTACTGCTGCGGAAGCAACGACGAAAGGAGGCGGCGGTCACGCCGGTCCTCCGACCGGAAGGAGAAGAATCCCCTCGCTTTCCTCGTCAACAGCATCTCCTTCAAATCCGGTACTCGATGGATAATTATTTATATGATTGTCATTTTTTCCGATAGCCTTATATTCATAAAATTTTAGTAATTAAGCTTCTGGCATCAGAAGTTGAGCTCAGGGGAGACGATCGGGTCTTCTTCGATCTCGGAAGGGGGAGGGTGGGGGACCGAAAATGGATAAACGACCATAGTTGGGATAAGGAGTGCAGTTCTCCTCCATTTCCGGCTCTGACGACGCAGCTTCTTCCGCCCAGATGGAACCAAGAACAGGTTCATGGCGGAGGAGATTCTGAAGATCGGCAACGGGAACATTGCCGCCCGGGTCTTCACGTTCCACGAGCTGGCGGTGGCGACGAACAACTTCCGGCCGGAATGCCTCCTCGGCGAAGGCGGGTTCGGGAGGGTCTACAAAGGATATCTCGAGAGCACGAAGCAGGTGAAGATTCCCTCCGTCCGTCCTTGAAAGAATCCGGTATTTTGAGGTCGCCTGCAACCGGGTTCTCCTCTCCTGTGCAGTTCGTGGCCGTCAAGCAGCTGGACCGCAATGGTCTGCAGGGAAACAGAGAGTTCCTGGTGGAGGTGCTCATGCTCAGCCTGCTTCACCACCCGAATCTGGTTAATCTGCTAGGATACTGCGCCGATGGCGAGCAGAGGATCCTTGTTTACGAGTACATGCCGCTGGGATCTCTGGAAGATCATCTCCTCGGTACCACTCCTCACCTACCAGATTCTCCTCTCTCTCTCTCTCTCTCTCTCTCTCTCTCTATCTATGTATCTTTGTTTCTTTCTGTGTATCTGTGTGACTATTGTCACGAGAGAATGGGCTCTTACTTATGCTGTGTTCTGTGGAAGATCTGCCACCGAACAGGAAGGCGCTGGACTGGAACACCAGGATGAAGATAGCCGAGGGGGCCGCGAAGGGGCTGGAGTACCTGCACGAGACGGCGAGCCCGCCGGTGATCTACCGCGACTTCAAGGCTTCCAACATCCTCCTGGACGGGGACTTCAACCCCAAGCTCTCCGACTTCGGGCTGGCCAAGCTCGGCCCCGTCGGCGACAAGAGCCACGTCTCCACCCGCGTCATGGGCACCTACGGCTACTGTGCCCCCGAGTACGCCATGACCGGACAGCTCACCAAGATGTCCGACGTCTACAGCTTCGGCGTCGTCTTCCTTGAGATCATCACCGGCCGCCGAGCCATCGACACCGCCAAACCCACCTCCGAACAGCACCTCGTCCACTGGGTAAGCCTCTCTCTCTCTCTCTCTGTGTCTCTCTCTGCCTGCGCTCCGTGAATGATGGTTTGAGATGGAGTGTTCAGGCGGAGCCACTGTTCAAGGACAAGAAGAAGTTTGTGCAGATGGCGGACCCGCTTCTGGAGGGGAGGTTCCCACTGAAGAGCCTCTACCAGGCGCTGGCGGTGGCGGCGATGTGCCTACAGGAGGAAGCCGGCACCCGCCCGATGATCAGCGACGTCGTCACCGCCCTCGAGTACCTCTCCGTCCCCAGAAGCGATCCCGACGTCGGCGCGGCCACCGGCGAACCCGCTCCGGCAAGGCTGCTATCCTCCCCCCGGGAAGAAGATGATCAAGAGGATAAAGAAGAAGAAGAAGAAGAAGACGGAGGAGAGGGGACCGCTAATGGCAGCGACCTCTTCAGATCCCGTCCAGGCGGAGATGGCGTGGCCAGTCGCTCCTGGAGGAGAAGCGGGAGGGTAGTCTACGCGAGATGCTGAAAAAGATCCCGACTTTGGCGTCTGAACGTGAAGATTTCCTCTTCTCCATTTATCTACGATGTTAACTATAAATCTATACAATTTCCAGATTTGTGATAGTTTAGTGGCCGGTGGAGATCAGTTCCATCGTAATTAGGTTCATTAGTGGATGGCATCAACGATTCGGGGCAGGCCCTGGGCTTTTTCAAGCAGGCCCGAACCCACCTCTTTCTAGAGAACCGACCCGTCCCCGGCCCACAGAGAGAGATAGAGAGAGATATACATGTAGAGAGAGAGAGAGAGAGAAATGGGACCTAGGACGCAATGTGTAAGAAAATGGTTTTCGGGCTTTTAGGCATGGGAGGAATTGGAGCATACAAGGCCCATTGACACATTTTAATTTCGTGTACGAGTAGTATACATCTTAGAGTATATATGAGGCACTATTACAATTTAAAGAACGAAAATAAATGTGACTCTAACCAGGTATTATTCAGCAAAAAACTTAAATTAGTAACTTTATGTGAAATTACTGAAGAACCCAAATTCTTGCATATTTTTTAAATGGTAAATACACTTCAGCTTGTAATGTCTTGTACACTTGTGCTAAGTCAAGACATGAAATTCATGCTCGCTATGGTGACAGACATGGGGGCCATCTTTGCCGAATTCTAATAAATTTCACTTTTTTAAATTTTTTTTTGCTATGAAGGTTCTGTTTGTCTTCTAGAGGATGACATCATAATTGATGAAATATACAACTATTCCTTGTGGATATATATTTTTTAATATAGCTATGAAAGTGACTTTCTTTTATTAACCATTTCCCTTTGGTTTCTTTTTCGAAATATTTGATTTCTATTCTTATTTTATCATATATATATATTCGTTTCTCTAATTTATATTTATAGCAAATGGGTTGTTTCTTCTATTTTTGTCAAAATTTAATTGTAGTCCATTTTTTGGGTAAAATATGTCTTCTTTCATGGATGGCTAATTAAATTTCCTACCCATTTTCACATCAGAATATTGTATTTTCCATTGATGTCAGAGCCTTCTTTATTTCATTTTCCTTCCATTTATAATAATAATAATAATACTAATTATCATTCTTGACAATCTTATTTTCTTGATAGTTTATAACAAACGGGTTCTTTACGCATAGATGTCTCCCGGCACGGCGTAACGCCCCTTATCCGTTGGCATTTGACGTGGCATTCCAGCTCGAGAGTGAGCTGGCGGATCTTTTAGTTCACTCATTTACGATAAAAAAAGTCCCACGTATGGTGGGCCCACATTGGCTATTTTCGGGCCACGATAAATTAAATGCTGTTAATGGGTAGGTCCACTGGTCGGGGCAACGGGGCTCGGGCCGTATGGGCTGACCCAAGAAAAGTCCTTGGCTGCGGCCCACTAGCAGGGATGGTTCGGAACATCCGACATCCGATGTGAATCAAAGCCGTCCATATAATGGTCCCTGGATAGACCACATTTTTATCTATTACCGTTGGCGGCCGGATTTGGTTCGAAGTCGGTGAGATTAAGATGTTGATAACCTAAAAGAGTGAGGCGTCTATTTGGGCCGAGGGCGAGGCAGTGAGGGAGTGACCGCATCGCTCGCACTACGCCCCGCCTCTTTTCCCTCTCTCCGCAAGACGAGGGTTTCCGAAAATTTCCCCCAAAAGTTGGTTTCTCTCTCGGAAGCCCTCTTCCCTCTCTCTGTCTCTGTCTGGCTGTCTCTCTCTTTCTCTCCGTTTCTCTGTGCGGGGCGTCGGGCCATGTCGACGGCTGCGGCGGATGGGTACGAGGGGGGGATCGGAGGGAAGCTTCGGACGAGACAGTCCCGGAGGGCGGCGGCGACACCGTATGACCGCCCGCCAGCGGCTGGTCGAGGGCTTCGTGGCGCGCGAATCGAGGCCGCGGCGTCTTTGGCGGTGGCGGGGCGGAGGGGCGGGTGGATATCGAAGCTGGTGGATCCCGCTTCGACGCTCATAACCAAGGGGGCCACGCGGTTGTTCTCCTCCGTGTTCAGGAAGAGGCTCGGCGCTCCCCCGACGGCTGAATCTCCAGGTAGCTGCCCAACTCCTGCAGCCGGTACTATCTTTTTTTTTCGGTGGTTATTTCTCTCCCTCTCTTTGTTTTATTCTTCTTCGTCATGTCCTCCAACCAATTATTGATCCACTCTCTTTCTATCGCGGTCTCTTTTCCTCTCTTGCTCATTGATTTTGGGTTTTTGTGGTTTTCTAATTAAGTTAAGGTTTTTCTAGGGCTAGGGTTTGGTGGCCCTCCTATATATTTTTTTTCATCAACATGAGTTAGAGCTCACAGACATGGAACCCTTACTCTCTTGTGATGTTTCATATGGTGTAACGACAGACAGTCACCTGTACATTTTTCCATTGGTTGAAGCTCAGCTACTGCATACATTTTTCCCTAATTTTTTTGTTTTTAACTTGATACTTTGACGTCTTCTCTTTATTCGTGGCTTAGGATACCATTCTTAGTTGACTTGACGTTAAGGCAATTCCGTTATTGTCCTCTGCCCCCTTCTAATCTCTTAGTTAGCTATCTCATTCCAATTAGCCGCCTGTTGGATGCGGTGTGCGTTTTGAAATCCCCCTTGGTCCTCCCTCTCGTGGCTGGAGAAAGAAACGCCCACTTATGGAAGAACTGATCGAGGCATTAGTGAAAGGAGGAGAAAAGCCTCGACCGATAATCATTAATAACTTTTGTCTCTTGCTGTTGCAATTATCTCGAAATTGGGAAATTCTTGTGCAAAAGGGCACTTGGGGTTGTTTGGGAAGGATATGATGTTTCTTAGAAGGTCCAACTTTAAGTCTATCTTATATTATACTTTTCAAGGTGCCCATATACCCGTTGCTTAGGTAGCTAGTTGTTGTAGGAGGGCGAGGTGCTTGTATGCCTAGGAAAGCACGTCGAATGTGTGTCTATCTTGGTCACTACAGTGTTTGGACAGCCAAGTTTGCCATCTTCACTGTCATGCATGGTACTCAGTTCTTATCGTGCTATTATTGATTACGCTTTCGTAAAGTATCTTCCTGGTAAAAAATTACACAGAAAGCAATGGATCTCTATACTAATGTATTGAATTAAAATATCTTCATCCTCATCTTTGAACTCTACAACCTAAACTGATTAAAAGCTATTCCTGCCTATATTAGAGACTTTATCAACTAAATTAATATGCACGCTGATCAAGTGCAAAACATGTTTTTTTCTCAGGGACCTCTCAAAATATAACTTTTAGTCTATTCTCAGAGCTAGTAAAATAAGCATTGTGCCAAGTTTACATTGGTTCATATATATTGTTAAATTTACATTAACTTGAATTTTTTTTCCCTGATTCACCTAATGTAAACAAGCACATCGCAATTTACATTTAAAATCTAAGGTAAAACTTGGCTTCATTACAAAAATCATGTCTTGCCACCTTAGGTAGGAAGAGATAGGGACACTGTCATGAGAGCTGTATTTGGCTTAACAACTATGTCTTGTATATAAGGAAAAAAGTAACGCACTTCGTACTAATTTTGCTTCCAATTGAATTAGTATTTTACCAACATTATGTGTTATTCAGTTTGAAAAATTCTTGAAACATTTATTTTTAATTTTTTAATATTTAAGTTTTACATCAATAATATAGTGGGCAGCGTTGGAAGGACATTCAGATGTCATATCGTTGGACTTATCTAGGATAACTTGTGGTATCTTAATCCTTCAATTGTCACGTGGACAGATTTAAGACACGAGTATTGGATTTTTGGGTCATTATTGTGGGGAAAAGCCCGAAAGTATGAATAAATTGTTAAATTATTCAAGTTATATCTGAAAATGAATTATTCTGTTGAATTATAGATATTAATTAATTCCATTCGCTTGATCCCTTTTTTTTGCTGAGTAAGTTGTATGGAGCTGCCTTGTGTTTTTAATTATAGGTTGCCAATATTTAATTTCGCATGATTTTTTTTGTCACGAGTAGTTGAAATTTTTAGCAGATTTTGCATGTATTGTCTGTCTGTAAGCATTGTGTGGATAATACGGTATGACATTCCTTCCCTAAAAAAGGTTTAAGATTAATTTTTTCATCATCTCTTTTATGCAGTTGCAAATTTAGAGTCTGGAGAAGCGGTTTCGGATGTTTTTGACTCTGTAAGTAACTCTAAACATGCACAGATTCCCATTTGTGGACATATATTACATGACTTGTCGGGACATGGACACTATATATGTATATTTCCTTTTAATAGCTAAGTGGCAGCCTTTGAATGTTACCTCGGTATCTCAGTCTAAAAATTTTGCTCACCAGATGACAGTCACTGTTATCATGACCATTCTCATACAAAGTTTGATGCGTGAATTTGGGCGGATACTAATTTTCTCAACTGTATGCATACAATGATCTATTTCCTTGTGTAATTCCTTTCGGAGAAGAAAATTGATGGCTGTGAAAATTATTTATTTCCTTCGTTAAAGAGAAATAAACTACTATGGATGTTATTGTTAAAATCTTATGGGGATAAATGCCAATTTTTTTCGCAGTCTCCTGTTTGCAATGATTTGTAGAGGAGTTTTGATTATTCTTGTTTTGAGAGTGGATGATATTGCACAATCCACATATATTGAAATGAGTTTGCATACAATATTGGCCTAGTGGTCTGCATCGCTGTGGTCTGCATCACCGTGGTCTGCATCAGGATGGTGGATGCCATGCTAACCCTTACTGTACAAATTTTCCATTGCTTTGTTTTCCTGTTTGAGGCATTGTTATAGCTCAAGGAATGTCTCAGGTCTCATCCTATGGTTTATGGCACGCTGCTGTTGAGCGGGTGGAGGTCTATTCTCTTGGTGGTCAGAATCTTTACTATTTCACTCAACCAAAGACTGGTGCAAAGTATTTTTCCAATGGGCCATGAAAATTTAGACGAATTTTGACTAATGAGGAGGGATAAACTGAATGATTGCTGACACGGAAATTGGTGTTGGCGACAATGCTGCTAAATATTTCAATGGCAGGTAGGAAACATGGTGATGAATGTCCAAATGGGAGTTCTCTGTCAGATCATGCATGAGAGAACTGAAGATGGAAGGCCTAAAGTATTGTCGGGAAATTAGATGTAGAGTAAATGAGTCGCCCTTGAAACAATATTTCCCTACATAAGTTCTATGTCAGGAGGCGTTGTTGGAGAGATTGATAAAACTCAGAACCCAAGGGTATGAAAAGTGCGTAGTTTGTTTTCCTGGATTTGCTGGCCATCATTTTGCTGTGTTGGATGACGAATCGTCTCCAGAGGATTTTCTTCAAAACTTGAGAACCGTTTTGGGTTGATAACCATGCCATGAACCGCTCACTCTTGGTTCAGTTGTACCATGTCCAATTTGTCCTTGGAGAAAACTCTTATCCACATGGAGACATATCAAAGACGTCCAAGAGCTCATCTGTTAGTGGAAATTTAAGCAATTGTTGGATAGGTGAGGAATTCCAGCAAACTTCCCCACTAAAGTTGATGAACCAAGACTTGAGCTGTTTGGATTTAATGCATTTTTGGTGATCATAGTTCAACTCTTTTGGCGTCTTGAAAACATTTAGCCTGGGGATGGTAACTTTAATGCATAGTTTCCTGGTAAAACTTTCAGATTAATGCAAAGGTGATCTCTTTCACCTTCAAAATATTCCTTGGAACTGCAAAAACATCTCAGCAGTTTGGAACTGCATTGGCAGGTTGGCAATCGGCGGCTGCAGGGCCGACTCTTTTGTAGGAGGGACATTTGCCATTTCAGTGAGCCAACTTATCTAGCATGGTAATCACTACTTCCCCAAATCCAGATTTGATGCCCTTGCATGAGATTTGGAGCTCTGAATGGGTTTATGAAAAAGTGGTGACTGTACATTATTAGTGTCCCTGTAGAATATGTTGGTATCAAATGCTACGATTATGCTTTATGCATAGTTCTCCTTCAGGCCAGTTTTGGGGGAGAGGGAGATTATACCCACCCAAAGATCTGAAATCATATAATATTGCTCTCTCCTTCCCACCAGAAGGTCATCTGTGGCTGTTTCTTAGCCTGCAAGAAACAGAAGAGAGGATGGAAAACGAGAAAAAATAAAAATAAAGCACGGTAACGTGACTTTCTGCCAAAATGAGGGCATTTCTAATCTGTTGTATTGCCTTAAAGTGTTCTGATATCGAGTTTTGAGTATAGTCTCCTGCATGTCATCCGTAAATCATGTTCTGATATCGACTCTTGAGTATTATCTCCTGCATACTGAGTCGGAAAATTTTCTTTTCGGACAATATTGCCTGAAATAGATAATTTTCAAAAAATATTAGCTGGACTCAAATAATAGACCACATAAGTTTACTTGGAAAATTTTACCCTTCGCTTTTTTATTATTTGTTCATCAATTTATAATTCCATTATTATATTGATATAAAATAATATTCACTCCTCCATGCAGAAGCCAAACACACAGGAGAAAGGGATCAAAGATGAAGGTGATTTAGGAGGTATTCGTGAAGATGATGGTATTTCAGAACTCGAGCAGCTGTTGAGGCAGAAGACATTTACTAGGAAAGTACTTCAAACAATATGACAAGATTTTTTTTTTGTTTTTTTGGGTGAATGTCATGCGTAAGAATTTATCCACTTTTTCTTCAAACATCACTGTCAAGGTCATTCTTCTCTAACAATAATATTACAAAGCAGGGATGAATATGATCGCTTGACAGAACTGTTGCGCTCAAGGACTGTAGATCTATCGAATGAAGAAGATAATAAGAGAATCATACAAAGCACATTTCCACCTGCTGGTGATTACGAGACACAGGAAGCTGAAACATTTCGAGTCCAGGAAAGGAAACTAGAAAGTTCTGTTAGAATGCTTTCTAGCCCTGGTTCCACTTTGAATGTAAGTGAAGCTCTGTTTTAGACTCTATTTATTTTGATTTGTTGATGATTTGTGTAATTCATTTTTTATGAGGTAAGTTTAACTGCGGAACTATTGGGTAGATGCAAGTGCGCACATCTGAGTGGTCAGTGGTGGGAGCTGGTTTACTTTCGTGTAGTAGAAGTTCCAGTGGGCATTGGTTTATTGGGTTCTTCTCTTTCATCTGTTTGGACTTCTAATGCATGCAACAGGAACAAGTGGCCTTAATGTGGGGGTCCTGCCTGTTTGGGTTTCAGCTTGATGTAAGCCTATTAGAAGTGAGCAGAAGATGAGCTTGAATTTTTCGTAGAATCACTGGTAGAGGCCATTGAAGAAAAGCACTTGATAGTTAGTCGGACTAAAATGGAGGCATAGAATGTAACTTGAAATATATTGTTTCGAAAGTGGATACATCATAATCCATTGTTTGACACCGAACATTCACACCTTTAAAACAAATGGATTTTAATTAGGAGAATTGCAGAGTAATCGTTGCTAATCAATATAGGTTGAAGGAAGGTAATGATTCTGGGTTCTTTATGACCGCAAATTGGCTAATTGATGGATGATGAAAGTTACCTGTCAATAGATTGGGGTAGAAATCAGCTATTGGTCCGCATATTTGTGAATTATCCTTTATTCAAAGATCAGAATGATCAGCATTGTTTGGATTTTTTGTCCTCCATTTGTTACAACTGATGAGATCAGATGATTCATTCCTTCTTAAGGCGCTTTTATGATTTCTGGGAATCACAGTATTTACTCTTGGAGTTTTGGTGTTAATGCTCACTTTTTATTTTAACAGAGTTAAATACCTACAGATGCATAACCTCTAATCCTTTATATCTTTCTTTTGGTTCCCATGGATTATGCCTGATCAGACGTAAATCTGCGTTCTGATACTTGACAAACGTTTGTTGTTTAATAAAATCCTTGTACGTAGTTCAAAGCTCATTTTTTCGTCAACAAGGAAATTTTGATAAGTTATAGATGAGTATATGCTCTTTCTTCTTATTTTATTTTCCAATGATGCTACCAGATCTCGGAAGAAGAGCTTGCCTCGCCTGCTGAAGTTGCAAAAGCATATATGGGTTCTAGGCCTTCCAAAGTGTCCCCATCTTCCTTAAGCTTGCGAAGCCAAATGCTTAGAGAAACTACAGCTTCGCCTAGTTTTGCTGGTTTCCCCCCAAAATCGTCAGGACAACCTCTTAGCTCAAAAGCAGTTGTTCGCTTGTCTGGTGTCCGGGCAACTCTTGATAATGGCTATACAACTCCAGTATCTCGAGGCAGATCAGCGATATACAGAATGTCTCGTTCTCCTTATTTCAGGGCCCAGCCGACGATTACTGCTAAGGTACAACATTCAAGCACATACTTGAGCTCTATGCTGAAGCTGGATATGTTTTTAATTTACTTTTTATGTTTTGTTTCTCCCACAATTTTTCATCTCAAGTTTTTGGTGCTATTCAGGATGGTGAACAAATTGAGGATGATTATACTGGCCCTTCTATGCCAGCCCAGTGGACACCCAAGAGCCTTGCACTTTCCAGTGGGAAACAGGTATGCTTGGGCAATTCTTTACGATGAACTAAAGATTTTCTTTGTTAATGCCACTGTTGTTTTTTAACAGAAAGTTCATTGCATGAAGGAAAACATAGTTGGGCCATGGATTCCCTAGAAAAGGGTGTAGCTCATCGTTTGATTTCATTGTATCATATTTCTATTTCATTTTAAAAAAATTATTGTTTGCATTATACTGTACAAATCCTTATCCTTGATTGTTTGGTGAATAGGCTAGTCAGTTGGATGATATGATTAATACTGTTTGCAGCAGTCTGGCTAGTGTAATGGTGCAAATATATTGATTTTCTATGGTGTGCAATTTTCTCAACATGAGAGGTAACTTTTCTTGGTGAGGTTTCATTCCACTTTTTTGGGTCTTGGGGAGTGATTGGGCCTGAGTGACTTGGGTTATCATCTTAGCTCTCATCTTTTAGAAGCAGGCTGAACTGTTGGTAGCCCATGGTGAAATACAGTATTTGATCTGTTGATTTGACTGGACTTTGACGTCTAGTAAAAATGCTGTGCATGTTTGATGGCCTATTCATCAGTATGACCGAAAAATGATTGAACATTGATGACTTCGTTATAGGCAGTCATGGGATGAACTTCTCGGTGACAGTTGGAATGAACTCTCTATGCATCTGAAATTAAGAGTCATACGCGGGATGCATTGTGTTGGAGTTTCTCGTAAAGTTAATAATCTTTGCCTTTATCTGTTTGAATTTTTTAGGTTATCTTTTATGGATGGTGCTTTGTTTTTATCTGTTATGATGATAGCATGTTTATAGCATGAAATTTATGAGCATAATCACCGTTGAGATTTTCCTATGACCTGGTGCTCTGTTTTTTGTGATGGTTTTGTAACTGTTTTATGTCATTTACATAATCTAAGTGCAGGTCTTTTTTGGTTCTGGTATATGTAGGTCCTTAAGCGGAGGAGCTCTGTGTTAGAAAGTGATATTGGATCTATTGGTCCCATACGTAGAATCCGACAGAAGTCTAATTTGGTGTCTCCCTTGAAAAGTCTGACGGGTCAAGTTCCCAGCAAATTTCTTCCAGCGACAAACGTTTTAGATACTACTGAACAATCTTCTTCCTCTGTACAGAGGACTCTTCCTTTGTCTACGGTAAAATATGATTCCTCAGACATGAAGGGTGTGAAAAACCGAGAAAAAAGGACTGGCTATGTTCCTGTACCTCCCCAATCCAGAGAAATGGCAAAAAAAATATTACAGCAACTCGATAAATTAGTACCCTCTCCAAAGGATAAATCAAGTGAAACGAAGGCAATGTTCAGGGATGAGTCACCATCCAAGTTGACACTTGACATGTTACATGGGCAGGCTTTGAAGAGTGTCACAGAGAATGATTTGTCGAAGTTATTCAATGTGGATGCTAATGGTAAGTTTGAAGGTAAGGGTAATTCCCATTCAGAAAGCCCTGGAATATTTTCTCCCATGAAAACCAAGGCTGGGGGGAACGGCCCTTCAAGCACTACTGTTTTTAAGGCCAAAGTGGCATCCGAAGCCAAACTGATGGACAACATATCTTCAGTTGCCGAAACGAGGACTGTTATGGGTACTCCGGACTATACTTTTCCACACTCCGCTGTTGAACCACTGCAGAAAAAATCTGCATTCAAGATGCAGGCTCCTGTGGTATGGTATATCTGTCATTTTTACGATTGCATGAACTTCTAAACTTACTTTCTGATCAATCCTTCTTCTCATCCTTCATGCATTTTTTTCTTATCCATTTGCCTTATTGTAGGATTCATTGGAGTACGAGAACGATGCCTACACTGGAAGAGATATTTCTGGTCCTTCATCTTCTGAAAGAGAGATAATTGAAATGAATGATCACAAGGTTGGGGCATCTGACACTTTCACCACAAAGAAGCTAGTATTTTCCTCTGAAAGCTTGGCTGCTTCTAAAGTCTCAGAAGTCAAGGTTTCTGGAAAGTTGGCTACCAACGGACCTGCTGTTTTTGATAAGAAGGATACGGGCTTTACATTCCAAGTTTCATTGACCCCTAGCACACAGCGTCATCCTCCCCCAACGCCCACCATGACCTCACCAGCTGTTGAAAAACCTGGTCCATCTGGTGGACAAGATGCTGCACCTCTTTTCAGCTTTAGTTCGAAAACTACTCCATTGACATTTTCATCGAGCATGGTGAGTTCTACTGAACATTCCAATCTAAAGTTCGGGGCAAAGTCAGAGATGAAAGAGCAGTTATTCGGAAGGTGAGCAGTTATTATTTGCATCTTGCATAGCGCAATACTTTGTTTACCTTGTGAATCTAATTTATGAAACAAATCTTGAAATATCTAGTTTTCTTGTATTATTCTGTGGCAGAATTATTTGAGTGTTTATTTTCTTGCTTACACGATGCTCTGCACGGTCGAGAGTTGCCATATATCCCATGTTCAGATCACATTAACTGGCCAGTAGTTGTAGTAACCATAGCTGTCCCTAGGAAACTATACGACGGGCATCTTTGCTGTTAACAGTTAGATTTTATATTAGACATGGGATTGCTCAAAGAGGCTAATATCATGGAAAACCAAAGAAATAAGAAATCAAGATAACTTACTCTAGCGGGCGCACTATCTTGTGTGGGGTCATCCGATAAACCTTCTCATGTGGCCACATCACTAAATCACGTTAAGAGAAGCTTATTTCCACCTTGATGCGGTTTAAGCATCAAAATAGGAATGAGATGGGTATAAAATAACTATGCGAAAGTAAGGAATCTCTGAATGGTTCAGTTTTCGTCTGAGAAAATAAAATATATTATAAAAGAATGAAGAATTGTATCCTGTTGTTGGTTGAATGTGCTGGCTGAGCTTTCATCACATGCATTTAGTCCTTCATTGACTTTTTGCGCTGGAGTTACTGTATTACTAGTTCTATCGTGGTGGTGTGTACTTCTTATACGATGCAAAGAAACTGGTCAGCCATTTTACATTCGTGTCAATCAGCAGTAAGTCTATAATAGATTGGAATCGCGTATAATAGTCAGCCATGACGGTCCCACGTCTAAAGGAAGAAATGTTGTCCCTCATTAATTCGGTTTATTTCTTCTGATTGATCTCTTTTAGTACATCAGCAAATGAGTTTGTAGTTTCTTGAACAAGACCTGACACCATGTTTCCTGCAGCGGCCCATCTGTTTCGACGACCGCCACTACAGTGGCAGAAGCTGAAAAATCTGACAAAACTCAGGAGGCTGGATTGTTATTTAAATCAGTTGCAACCCCAAGTTCATCTGGTTTTTCAATGCCAACTACCTCGAACACCTTCCAGTTTGGTGCCTCCTCTGTCTCCACCCAGAGCAATGGTTCTCCAATAATAAGTTCATCTGTGTTCACGGCATCTTCTTCCTCTGCCCCATCTATCTTTAGCAGCTCGGTGACCGCAACTGCCTCTGGGTTCTCTACTTCTGCGGCCAGTTCTAGAAGCGAGCCTTCCACTTTGTTCTCTACCTCTACAACAACGCCTTCATTTCAGTTTGGCTCCAGTTCCTCGGCAGTTCCTACCTCTCTTGCTGGATCTGCGGCGAAGCCAGTCGTCACGGATTCAGCTCCAAAGCCTGCCAAAGAATCGATATTTGGACTATCCAGTTCTTCAGCGACAGCATCTTCGTTTACGAGCACGGGCGGCAGCTTATTCGGTTTCAGTGCCCCAGCACTGTCAGGTGCCACCACCTTCAGCGGCAGCAGCGGCAGTGGCGGCGCCGGATCGTTAATTGGCTCTCAGGCAGCCCAACCTGGAACTGGGGCGTCTCTCTTTGCGCAGAGCACGACGAGCCAGTTTGGCTCCACCTCCTCCCTTGGATTTAATCTGGCGGGTTCTTCCAGCGGCTCAACATTCAAGTCCTCAATTAGCAGCTCGAAGCCATTTGGGTTGAGCCCTGGGTTTGGGGAGTCCACCGTCGTTGCCTCCAGTGCCTCCAGCGGTTCTCTGGCATCGACAGCGACAGCTGCAAGTTTGTTTGCCGCCGGTTCTCAGTCAACCACACCCTCGCTCTTCAGCTCTGGCTTCGGCTCCTCGGCACCGTCTCCCTCGATATCTGCATTTGGGACATCCTCCTCGGCTTCAGCCCCTGCATTTGGATCCTCATCTGCTTCGATATTCTCGGCGTCATCAGCTCCCGCCATGGCTTCCCCGGTTTTCTCATTCACTCAAGCTGCCGCCACTACAAGCTCATCGGCCTTTGGCTTCTCTTCAGCAACCGCCGCGCCATCGGCTGCTGCCGCTCTCTCCTCGGCAGTTCCCACTTTTGGGGCGCTGAGCCCCACGATGGGATTCAAGACTGCCTCCCCAGGGAATAATGATCAGATGAATGTGGAGGACAGCATGACCGACGACTCAGTCCTGGCTGCGTCCCCCGCCGTGCTGGGTTTTGGGCAGGCGGCCACCATTCCTGCTCCGACATCGCCGTTTGGCTCTGCCGCCGCAGCTTCAGGAGTTTCAGTGTTCCAATTTGGCAGCCCCCAGTCCGCCGCCTTCCTGCCGGGCCAGTCCCCTTTTCAGCCGGCTGCTGGGTCGGAGTTCCAGGGGAGCTTCTCGATGGGCAGCGGCGGCGGTGACAAGTCGGGGAGGAGGTTCATCAAGGCCAAGAGAGATAAGCACCGGAAAAAGTAGAAGAGCCCTCCCCCCCTCCCAGTGGACGGACGATGTGAGCTGCCTTTTCTCCATTCTGATTGATGTTTGGCTGCTGCTGGCTATTCTTCAACGGATCTCTCAATACAAGGTAGGGGGGTCTCCCTCCCTCTTCTATTCTCATTCATCGGGGCTGTTTTTCTCTCTATCTCCCTTCTTCCTCTTCTATAAATATATGTATTGTTACAATTTTGGCTTTTAGTTGTAGCCTATATATGAAAGGAGGGTGGACATTTTTTCTCCTCAGTGGCAGCGTCTGAGAAGAGCCCGAGTTTTTGGCAGGATGGGAGGAGTGCTGTGTTCTTTCGGCCAGCCGGCAGACCTCAAGAACATTTCCCCAAATAGATAAATATCCACTGAACGGATGATAGTTTCCCTTCTTTGGCCGGCCGACGTCTTCTCCCCCTCCCCCCGGGCCTCTGGATCTTCTGTGCTGATGCAGGGTTTCGCTTCACATGAATTCATGATCTTCACCAATGTGCCTCTTGATTCTTGGGAGATTGGTGATGAAAATCATGAATCGAAGTGCCGTGATTCTTGGGCCTACCCATTAACGATGAGCTTAGGTACTGACTATTCTAGCGGAGGAATAGGTCGATGGAGGAAGACGATCGACTGCGGGAACACTTGATTAATAATGGGCTCTAAGCCCGGTAGCTGCCCGCCCGGGTTCCAGAGGGATGCTCGTCTACGGGAAAAGGAAGACGCAGCGGTCATGGGGGAATACAGTATTGCTGATTGCGCGCCAGGCGTCTAGTGCATGCAAATTACGCCGTGCCCCTCACCGCCTCTCTCTCTCTCTCGTCTCTATCTCTTTCCCTGTAGAGAAGATGACCTCGGCGTGCCGTTGGTGATGGGGAGATCTGAGGAGCCTCTGCACCATCAGGCTTCTTCCCATTATGAGACTTGGCCACACGGAGGAGCCTACCTTCGTCGTCTACTTCATTCCTTTCTTCTTTCGTAACCAGTCGACGTTTCAGATGTGAGAGATAGAAAGATAGGGAGAGGGAGAGAAAGAGAGAGAGATGCCTTCGCAGAGCCTAGAGTGGGCGGTGCGCGTGGCTCTGGAGAGGCTGTGTGGGAAAAGGATGGACAAGACAGGACGTTTCCGATTTCAATACATCTCCTCAGACGGACCAGAAGCACACGTCTTTTGTAAGACCGTTGCGTGGCGGCGGGAGTTGACCCACTGGAGCTGTCAAAACAAAAGGGTTTGATATTTCCACGCCCCATCTTTTACAACCCTCACGCACTTTACTTCGACGTATTCATTGAATTTAAAGAAATGGTGGGCTTATCAGTGTCGGTCGAACGTACATAATTTTCTACGAGTTAACACTGCAGATCAGTCGATCTGCAGCTTGCCAATCATGATAGGAGCACTAAAGATCAGATCTCGCATGAAAAATCTTGTAGAGTCAAGCACGGAGAGAGTGATCGAGCTATTCAATGGACTCAACTTCACCAAAAGGTTGAGTCAACCTTCTGCAGAAGTATCCTAGGTGTTTGCCATGGGGAGGTGTTCTATTCTTACACAGGGCGGGAAGACAAGTGAGTGAGTGAGAGAGAGAGAGAGAGAGAGAGAGAGGCTGAGCCATCTCCACACTTCGAGATACCTCTGGAATAAACCGCGGCGCATGGATGCTCCAGAGAGCTCGGACGTCGGAAGGGGAGAGAAGATGAGGACTCGGAGGAGGAAGGGGCCTCCTCCCGCATGTGAAATGAGAACATGCCGCGAGCCCTAATGGCGTTTCTGCTCCTCCTGTGACGTCCCCAAGCTCGCCGCCACAGTGACCAGTGGCGAGGAGCCACCCGGGCGGCAGGATCTCTCTTTCTCTCTCTCTGCGCGCGATAGAGAGGGGTGAAGGGGGTTGGACCACTGTCTGTGGGCGTCTGTGTTGGGAGTAGCGTGAGTGGCTGGGGGGAGGGCCGAAGCGTGTCTTCTAGCTATGGACTGTAGTGATGGGGGATGGTTGGCTCTGGGGACCGCTCGGCACAGTCCCTGTCCTTCTACCCTGACATCATGAAGACGATACCAGAGAAAGATGTAGATAGAGGAGTGAGAGAGAGAGAGAGGTGAGGCGGAAGCGAAGAGGTTGCGGCTTTGGTGGCGGGGTAAATGGGAGGCGGTCGGCCGTAGAGAGCAGTAGATGGACGAGGTGAAATCGCCCCGCGAGAAAGAAGGGCCAGTAGCTGTCGCAGTTGCAGCCCGATACCCGCTGCCTTCAGTTAATTAACTCCATCTCCGTCGCTATCATGGGTGCCCAGATTCTCTCATCGAGCTTCCATGCGTCTGCATCGTCCGTCCTCTCCACAGACTCTGTGTGTGTGTGTGTTTGTGTAGTGCTGCCTATCTATGAACACATACCCATCGAGAGGAGGGGAAGGATTGAAACCAGAATTCAAATTGCAGACAGAGGTGCGCCTACTCCACAGTAATCGTAGTCTTGCGGTGATTCTTCCCGGTCCAGGACAAACCCTACTGCCGGTGCCTTGTCTATTTCTCTGCGTCCCAGGATAACGTCATTGAGTCGGGAGGGTGGGGGAAGGGATTGTATGCACTGTGGTGGGTGGGGTTGGAGCCTAGCGCACCATGGAAGTATCAACCATTGTGCTGCACCTGTCGTCCCTGCAGACGTGCTGCATCTGCGTCTGCTGTAGACGCTGACAAAAAGATAACTCCATTCAAGTCGGCACCTCTGTGCCTCTCTCCCTCTCCCTCTCTCTCTCTCTCTCACATTGGCTGTCCTTTCGTCCCATGCCTGCCCATTTCTCTCTTTCTTTCTCTCTCTCTTGCGATAGCAGTACTTTTATCTACCCTGAATTTCCCGCCTACTCGCCGTCCTCTTCCGAAACCCGCTAGTGCCTCTTTCCCAACACACCGTCGATTTCAAATCTCTGAACGACACAAAACTCGCATTCCTCGTATTCTTTCCACTTGAATGTTAGTATTTGATCTTCAATCTGGCGTTAAATCCCCTTTCACTGCCTGAGGGAGCTCCATCTCCGCCGCAGACTGTAAATCTGCAAGTCGAACTGATGCATCCACATGAAATAACCAGATCTAGACTAAACCACCGCCGCCACTGGCGACTAAGAAGGAGAGATAAATCACCTTCCCACAACGATCGACCTTGGACACAATCGGCAGACTAATTAGAACGACACCTGCGTATCAGCCCGGGGATTATCATCAAGGACGCAGGAGTGATAGAAGCGCTCCTTGGCGCCACGCGGGCTTCGTGATTGACTTATTGCCCAGAAGATGACCGCATATAGAGAAATTTCTGTCTGTTACTGCTTCGGGCTATGCCATAATTAGCCAAAAAAAGGAACAAATATTCATGTAATGGCTACGGTCATGAATACTCCAGACAACATAAGTTCATACCATTCCAGAGGCCTGACAGGAATCAAGAAGCCGTTAAACATGTGGCTTGCTGAGATGGTGGATACCTCAACTTAAATATATATATATCTATATATATATATCTATATATATATAGATACACCAATGTATTTCTAGGGAGTACTGGTCTGTCTCTGATCACAAGGACAAGTGGCGCGCCGCCCTCAGTAGATTCCGTGAGACTTGGGCGCTCCTTCAGCAGAAATGGCCTCGTCGACCTTCGCCTGCTTGTCGTCCTCCAGGTTTAGCCCGAAGTGGATGTATGGGAAGTGAGCCCACTGCAACAAGGTCAGCATGGTATTTTCAGGATATGACTAATCCATGTGAGTTCTGCTCCACGAATGCAATCCATTTCTAGAAAACGAGTAGTTCGCAGATACATGACTGTCTAAAGAATCAAAGGAAATCAAAGACTGCCAACGTAAAGACTGAGGATCAACCAGGAGTAGCATTTTATATTATTACTCATGCGACTATTCCGAATGCCATAGCTGAGAGGATGTCTAAACTTTGGCGCGAGAGTAGGTGTCAAACTAGGAATCCCCAACGTTTCTCCTCTACCAAGCAGTCACGGAATTCATCCCTTAGGTAGCATTCGTCACGGTGGATAACTGCTGTTAAAAAAGAAATGGCAGATAAGACGCTATCCATTGAAAGATTTGGTGTCCACCGGCCTATTACCATCGACTGTTTTCAGGCTAATCTTGCTTCCTCTTCGAGGGCTCCCTTGGTCTAATAATTCATGTCATTATAACTCACTCTCATATAACAAAGGATCTCGTCTACTGCTCAATTCCATGGGCTATCGCGATGCAGAAGACAGAATGAGTGGGTGACAAATAATTTAAGACGGAATTATAAAATTTCCATGAAAATGAGAGGATGTCAAACGAGATAATGCGGCAATGAGATATTCTCCAAATACATGTACTACATGTGCCAAGGAGGGCTGATCTTGCGATATATCAAATTTAAAATCCTTTATGCTGTCTTTGCAAACAACTTTCTCGAAAGCATTTCGAAACGAAACAAGTATGCTACGTAAAACAGAAAAGGTTTCTCTAAGGAAGAACGTGAGATTAACGTATTAACACACCCCAGTAAATGAAATTTTTTCCCTACAAAGCGGTCTTCAGGACCTTTCTAACTGAGGGTATGATACCCTTCATCTCGAAAATTCTAGGGTTGTATCAATATTACTAGTTTTGTAGTACTTGATATCTTGGATCTATCAGAACACCTTCGCCTATAATTTTCCTCTTCTGTTAGTCGCTAAGAATCAGTAACTACAGTGCAATAGCTACACATGACTAGATTCGGAGACTTTCTCATGTTTCTAATGACAAACACAGACCTAGTTGACTGTCTTGGAGCAATTTGATTCCTTGTAGCTGGGATGTCGACTGATCCCAAGTGGTAAACCCTCTTTGGTGGCCTGAACTAATTTTGTTGCATGCTTGTGGATACAGACAATCACTAGGGAAGGATGAAATCATATGCACGTTGCGTGCCCCATATGTTCTACGCTAGAAAGAAACATAGACTGATCCTAACAAAAAAACTGGTTTAATTATTTGGTATGGATTTTCATCAGTAATCAAGGATTTCGTAGTCTTGGATACCGTTGAGAAAATTTCAAGGGTGATGAGGTAGCGATTAGGATTTAGTCCATAAACTTGTTATGTCTTTCCTTAAGTTGGATATATCTCTTCCTTATTTTGTTTTCTGAAGGGGAGAAATTGTGAATAACTTCTTTAAGCACGTAATGCAGATGACTCCTACCAGGAATGAGATCCATTTTAGATAGAACGCTGAATGGCTATTGAATATTTCTGTGCACATGCACTCAGTCACATTTACCAAGAATCTGACCTAAAAATGAAAAAAATCGATATTTCTACGACCTCTATGTCTGATTAATAAAAAAAATTCAAAATTTATTTCATGAAATTATTGTGATAATATCGTACGCTTTTACATATAAATGATGAAAGCTGATAGCATCTGAAGTCGGATTCAGTTCAAGGTTATGTAAAACAGTTATGAATTTATAATGAGTTCAAAATTATGAAAGTGTAAAGAAAGCACAAAGGAAAATGTGGACTTCATGTTTTGAAGATTTCTAAGAGTTAAGATGGCATTTAATGTAACTCAACAAAAGTAAATAAAAGATACAAGATTATACAATTCGAATGTAACTGGACAGATTTAACGAGGAATATCTCCTTGTTTCAGGTGATATAATTCAGGATTTTAGTGGGAGATGGTGATGATGATAGATTCTCATTGGATTCTTTTATTCGAATAGGTTTTAGTTAATATCTTTGAAAATTACAATCCGACAGTGTTATATGCTCGTCAAATTTGTATGGTAACGTATACGAGTTTCGATCTTTCTTCTTTGCTGATAGAATGGCTGAAAATAAATTTTTATTTCATTCTCCTAGCATGCCAATCGGTCTATTCCTCCCCCCCCCCCACGCCAAGATGTATATTATTTGATAGTGTTATCATTTGTTTTGCACTATGTATGAAGATTACGTTTTCTTCAGCCAGTTTTTTGTGAAACAAGAGCTTGGTTTTCCATGCTTGGGTGATTATGTATTGGAAGAAAATAATTTCTCCTCTATGACTTGATATCCGGTGTATTGAATTAAATCAAGGGACAGATTCCTGTCATCAGGGATAGCATTTTTGTCCCACCCTCCAATCCCCAATTGTCAGAATGAAAATTAAAATCTGAAGGTGTGAGAATGAAATGAATCCAACTTCTCTAAGCCTTATTCGATGTGATTTTATGAAAAGCTTCACATTTTTATTTTTGTGCAGACTATTGACAATGAGCATATATCTACCATATGGATTAGGCATTTATGACATGGAAGCATTGTAGCGGCTCTTACGTTCTTTGCTGCAGCACTAAAAGCTTCTCTATGGCTAATGTCGGGGTTGCTCGCCTTTATCCTTTGGATCTCTTCCCTGACATGGATGGAATAACGAGAAGAAAGCAAGGTTAACTTCCATCTGAGATCTCCTGGTGCAGAAAAATAAAGGAAAAATCTTATATATTTCCAAGTAGTTTCTTGTTGACTTACTTAATAAACCTGTTATATGCGGAGGGAACACGTTGTCTCTTCTCAGGAGCTGTTCATGGAAGCACCACGAGATCATCAGATAAGAATCATCGCTAAAGCATACAGCTCGGAGATTAATCTATGGCTTTACATGATCAAGCGACAACTATGGGACGTATCGGCCGAGAGACGTACGGCGGACGGGTAAGACGGGTCGTCGATCGTTCTCCGGAAAGCTCATCGCGGGCGCCCTCTCGCCTTTGGAGGAAGAAGGTTCGTACTGGGTGCCTTGCTCCTGGTACCTCAGCTTGTGACTCTGCAGAATATGATCCAACAGCGCTAAAATACAAAGGAACGGCCAGATATTCCACGATTGACCAAGGTTTTAACTTGTTACATCGTTATCTTTCCTTCCGTTAACTCTCTCTCTCTCTTGGGAATAGTTCCTTTGAATCGTCATTGTATTCTTCAATTGAAAATAGTTACATATATCAGAAATGCATTCAGAGAAATTAGAAAATCATTTCCCCTTTTCATGTTAAAGATATTTATTGATTTTGTACGCACACTGTCTTCGACAGAATCACGTTTGAGTGAGTGAGTGAGTGAGTGAGGAGTGAGTGAGTGAGTGAGTGAGAGAGAGAGAGAGAGAGAGAGAGAGAGAGAGAGAGAGAGAGAGAGATGTAAACCTGGAAATCCTGAAGAGGGTAAGCCTGAAGCATTCCTCCCATGTTCACAGACAGAAGATTGGCACAGTGTCCGCATCTTACAGTGACCACGCTCATCATGTTGTTGCATGGGACGCTTACCTGACAAAGAAACGAGAGAGAGGATGGCTGTAAAAACACAAACTCGCAGAGAGAGAGAGAGAGAGAGAGAGAGAGAGAGAGAGAGAGAGAGAGAGAGAGAGAGAGAGAGAGAGAGAGAGAGAGAGAGAGAGAAGAGAGAGAAGGGAGAGAGAAGGGAGAGAGAGAGAGAAGAGAGAGAAGGGAGAGAGAAGGGAGAGAGAGAGAGAAGAGAGAGAAGGGAGAGAGAGAGAGAGAGAGAGAGAGAGAGAGAGAGAGAGAGAGAGAGAGAGAGAGAGAGAGAGAGAGAGAGAGAGAGAGAGAGAGAGAGAGAGAGAGAGAGTATTAGTCAGAGTGTCTTCTGATCATCTCAACTGCGCTGAAAAGCTGACTAGCGAGCCAGCGACAGTATATTGACTGGAAATTCTAATAAGAAAGAAGTTCATACTGGCCACTATATCCCCATCTTCAAACAGCAGTTTTTCCAATGAGACGCACTAGTGAGAAAGTGATGAAAAGGAGGAAAAGGGAACAGACCCTAAAATAGATCCTTGGAAGGAAGATCCGATGTACTGAACTCGACATCTGCGGAGAGCACCGCTTAGCCGCTCAAGAGACGATTTCATCACATGCAGACCAAGAAGGAACTGAAGTCGGAATGATCAGGAGACTGGAGCGGAATTCTTCTTCAACACAGCGAAGGGGAAGAAGAAATGAAAGGGGAGGACAATGGCATCTCCTTGCCCACTAGTAGATGCTTGAAAATTAAGGCATCACGGTACGTAAGAAGGATCGTTGATCCGGCGAGAACGTTGATAAGATTAGCTAAGGACCTGACTTGGCTTCTTCCGCGGTCCAAGAGATCTATTTGAATGTTAAACGTGGAGGGCCTTGTCCGAGTGAAAAACGAAAAATGGCATAATGTGGTACCGGAACTATCGGAGGAAATGACTCCATCTCCCTCTCCTTCCCCTCCTCCATCCCTCAACAGAACCGATATTCGATAAACCCTCTCCTTACACAACCTGAGGTAAACGGCACCAGCCTACTGACGGTGAGAAAACCCAGCGAGAGAGAGAGAGAGAGAGAGGGGGGGAGAGAGAGTGAGGGAGAGAGAGAGATGACACTATAAAACCCCATCCCCAGGGCGTTTCAAGAGCTTTGAAATGAACGAGTATGAAGACAAGACCGTCAAAGAGAGTGGTACTTCCCTGTAGGTTTCTTTCGAAGATATTGATAGGCAAACATATCAGAGAATGCCGGAATGAGAACGACGAGGAGTCAGATTGAATGTGACGAAATTACAAGGATTGACGACGAGATCTGTGTTAATGCAGATCTAATCGTCACAAGGGGATTCGAATGGCAAGGAAACTATTAGAATAATATAAAGGAGACAAAAGACAGTATCTGTGTTAGTGCAGGTAGAGATCGAGAGAGAGAGAGAGAGAGAGAGAGAGAGAGAGAGAGAGAGAGAGAGAGAGAGAGAGGGAAGGGGGTGGGTACTTCCTAGCGTTCAAATAGGAAATTAGAATCAGTAGAATCAAATAGAAAACCTCATTTTAATAGTGTAAATTAAAATATCGTAGAATGCGAATACGCTATATTTTCATAAATAAAAAAGTTAGAAGCCTTTTCCAAGATATCCAACTTTCTACTTTTCTCATTCCTCAGACCTTGTTTAAGAATAGGATAATGCAGGACCCGAAGATTGATAGACTGATAAAAAGAGAAACAGATGCATGAATATATCGAGAGAGAGGGAGGGGAGAGAGAGAGAGAGAGAGAGAGAGAGAGGACATCTTGAAACAATGCAGCAATAAATCATTCTATTCACAAATTGAGGTATTTGAAACTGAGTCTATTTATCACGATGAATACACTAACTCGCTGCTGGAAGGATCTTTAGATTTTCCCATATCATCTTTAGATGCCTAACCACATACTATTGAATTGTTAAATTAGTCCTGGATCAAATGAATCACTGGTCCTCTTCAAATCGATTAGATATCCATTATTGAGATACTGGAATCCAGTGATTCGCGACGATCTCCAGAAAATTTAATCTCACCGGCAAGTCTGCTATCAATCAGCAGACGCTCTTAATATGATCCTGGATAAGATTTTTCTCATGGAAGTAACTCCCTCCTTAAGCTGAGATTTTGGGAATCCCAGATTCTTTCACAGAAAACTCAGTCTGATCCCTCGTCCTCTCTCTCAATACGATGTATATGTTTTCTCCCCGAGTATCTCTAGCATGGGAATTATTTTGTAGAGAAGTACCAAAAGGAAGTCGTTTTAGGTAGATTTTACATCATCTCCATCTCAAAGTCTGAAGGTGTAGAGAGAGAGAGGAAGAGGGAAGGGAGAGGAGGGAGAGAGAGAGAGGAGTTGGTATCCTCATGCATAGAAGAAGAGACGAGACAGGAACCATCCTATGCGGGTTGCACCCATTGTGAAAATTTAGGAAACCACGTCATTGATAGAATTGATCTGAGTCCTTCCACAGAACTCGTGGAGATCGCTTAGGCCTCTAGATGGGAAGAGTAGCGGGGAAGTGGAGAGCTCCATGAAATATCGGCCCCCAGAAACCTAAATTCGTCCTCATCTGGAAACACCGTAATAAGGTGGATCATCTCTAAGATGCATCAATAGATAAGTGGATGTACGGATTGATTTGTAGATATCGATTGATAAAGAAGCAGATATATAGAGAGGGAACGGGAAGGAGGAAGAACGGGTAGAGGGAGAAGGATGCTGAGAGAGGAATACCGCGAGGATGGTGTTGCAGAAGTTGCAGTGGACATAACAAACTTTCTCGGGCTGAGCTTCGAGCGACATTTTCCGATCGCGGGGAGCCTCTTCTCTCCTCTCCCAAGGGAGATGACTACGCGCATATGCTGAGGGGGAGGAAGAGGATTACCGACCCTCGGCGGAATATGCATACATATATATATTAACAGAAATAGCGTGCTGTTGTAGATGAAAGAGGAGGCAGAGGTGGGGAATGAGCCTCGGCAGCGGCGGCGACGGTGGTGGGGGCGAGACCCGGGTGCGCGGCCGCAAGGCGTGAGCAATACAGCGGCGTTGGAGAGAGGGGAGGAAGGGGGAGGTATCGGTCGGCGACGACCGTTTGGTTTTTCCCACTTTCTTTTATGCTGCTTCTCTTTCCTGAGAGACGAGGGGAGGGGCGTCGTCTGGTCGACAGAATTCCTTTCCAGGGTTACGATTGACTGAACGAGTGGGTGGAAGACAACTACTCTCACTCCCTCCCCTTACCCTCTCCTCTCCCATCTCTCCCGCTCTATCTCATGCGAGACTCGGAGGTGGGACGTATGCGAAAACGGAGATGCCAAAAACTTACCGACCGTACGGTCCACAAAATAAACCAAGGATAGACAAATTGATCATTCGTCAAGTCACGTCCATGAAGCAACTAGTAGCAACAATAATAAATAAAGCTATGTTCGAATAATGTGGTCAAGAACTATATTATATAGAAAGTCAAAGTTCTATCTGCATAATAAACCTAGAGAAGATAATGCCAGGTTAGCTGGAAGAAGACCTCTCGTGAAACTATTTGGCCTACAGGAGAGCATGCGCTGCCCATGGTCAGGCTAATGTAGCCGCACAAATACCCACGAAATCCATGAAGCCGGTTATTTGGCGAACAAGATCATATTTTGCTGACTTATTACATGCAACGGCCTGGGTCACTTATAAGGAAAAGGGACGGGTGAAAAAGGGGAGATATCGAGGCCGACTTATTACATATACACGCGCGCGCGCGCGCACGCACACACACACACACACAGACCCTCTCTCTCCATCTCTCTCTCTGTTAGATGCGCAGTGAAGACTTTTCTTCATTTGTCTTCTCTTCTCTCTTTACCTTGGAGGGGAAGTGAAGGTTTCTTGTTCATCTATGAGGTCGAACTACGTCGGCCATGGAACATGTACCACATGGGGGGGGGGAGGAGAGAGAATTGGGACTTCGTATTGGGATTGCGCACTTCATAAATGCAGCTGGCGTGGTTGTATCAGTAGGCCCGGTCGCGGGGTGGGGGGACGTCGGCATCTTCGCAGAAAAAGAAGTGTTCCTGTCCTATTGACAACAGTGAAAGAAAAGGACTTGGCCTTGTCAGTGAAGTTAAGTCGTCACTCCTCTCTCTCTCTCTCTCCTCCCTCCCCCCCCCCTCTCCACTAATCACTCAAACGAGTAAATCACCCAAATGCAGTCTATTATTTATCTGCAGGCTCATTTACTCAACCCCCTCCTCATCTCTCTCTCTCTGTGGTCCTCTACGTCCCCTTACCCACCAATGTTTCCATATGTTAAGTACGCTGAAATTAACGACGATTCGTGATGAACAGAGACCTTATGAACGATTGACCGAGCACGCATGAGACATGGATGAATCCATGAATGATAGACTGAGATGAGATGTTTGGTGGGGTGACGAGTGAAGAGACAAACGCATAAGACTGCCTCCTGTATACCGATTTATGGAGATTGGCCATGCAGATGAACAGGAGTCTCATTAGCAACGCCGCCGGTTGCACCTCCTCGGAACATCCTCGCCCGAGACACTCGGAGCAGTCTCGGGGATAAAAAAGGGTGCAGATACGAGGTCAACGCATGCTTTTTCTATGCTCTTCGCTGATTACAATAACATATGGTATTAGGTTTACGGCCGCGGATCATATGCCGGGTTTATAAGTCCTGAGGGGAGAGCGAAGACAAAGCTCCAAATGTATCTTTTCTGGGAACCTTTTATGGGGAAATGGTTCTTCTCGGAAAGATAGAGAACGATATTATATAATACACTTATATATATATGTACACACTGAGAGGGAGAGAGAAGAGAGAGATGGGTGGTCGGAGAAGGAGGTGTTGTCCTTTTCCACGCAAAAAGATAAGACTAGTTGGAGGGCCCGTCTCCCCACAGTGAGACCAGCGTTAGGTGGTGACAGGAGACATCATAGGCCCATTTGACAGCGGACGAGTCTCGTGGAGTTACTAAGAGGGAGAGGCGTCCGCTCATCCATGGCCTCAGGCCCACAAGGAAGGCGGTGGTGAGAGTCCTATTGGGCTGGGACCATGTTGACTCCGCCTCTCAGCCCATGGCTTACGCTTGCTCTATCCTTCATTAATTAATCATACCATTAATTATAATTTTCTAAATATATGAATGTATAATATATATGCACACATTTGTTTGCATGTGCATTGTTCATTGGATCTTTCGCATGGGCTTCGCTTAAACGGACGGATGATAGGAAGTTGGGTTACCATCAACAGGAGGGCATCTTGGTCTGTCCTGGAAGAAGATCGGGGAACCTGCTAGTGCTTCTTGCTGTCATCCGGAGTGATTGCTGGGCCATTGCAACGGCAGTGACCATTAAAATCAGGAGAAAAACCCAGAACAAAATCAGCAGAAACTTAACTCACCTTATTCACCAGTAAAAACAAGTGTCTTGAACAAAATGGAATAAACCTGACTTGAATAGTCTTTATTCATACTTTACCCCTTTCTCTTATTTTGGAACCTCAGGGCCTGTTTGTTAGGAGGAAGCATGAATCTTGATTAAAAAAGGGCAAAAATATGATTTCCGTTTAATTTTTCTAATTTCCTACGATTTATCCTAGATTTCTTTTGAGACATGTACTTCACAAAAAATAGTCTTTGAATAGTTTTGAGGTGACTGGGCCACTATGTTAAACTTATCTCTAGAGACACATTGTCTTCATACAAACGAACCCAACTATCACGTTTCACTGATGCTGTGGATTATTATTCCCGTTGATGAAGAGCATACACATACTATTATTGATTGCATGTTGCATGAAGAATTTCAAGGTTTGAACTTCTTGAATAAAAAGGTTTTCTTGTAATCAAATTTGCTCTCAGATTCTTTGATCTAACGTTTTCCAGAAGGACTTTTGTAATTATCAACAAGTTGGTTGGTTAATGTTCTGTTCCTTCATTGCTAGTCACAATCTCATCTCGTAACTACATTTGTTTCCCTTCTGAGGTCTTTTGTGATGCTTTGTTTGTTCTTTGTTTTTAGTAGAGAGCCATATTACACTTGGGGGATGATGTTTTCATGAATAACTCTACTATCTAACAAAAATGTATCTATATAATTTATTAAAAGATAACAATAGATATAGAAATATAATATTATTTTTAGAAACTAATGGGTTGACCACCTTAAATAATTGTATCATGATCCATGTCTATTGTTCCATCACATAAATGGTTTTATCATGTGATGGGTTGACTTTTTGTGGCATTGAGGCCATTATGTTATTTGTGTCCAAGCCATAGATTAATTGAGGTAGATATCTTCAATGAAAGTAAAAGGTGTATGTGAGGTGTTTCCCCTAGTTGATTACAAGCAGAAGAAATTTTTTCATATCATTTAAGGTGGCCTCATGCAACTAGGAATGTAATTGGTTGGAGATTATTTAAAATCAGAGAAAGAGACACAAGAGACTCCTTAATAATGTTATAGTTTTGGTCGATCAGGGGGCTTGGATCTCCATCTCTTAGAGTCAACTTCTTGCAATCTGCTGGAGAACATGGAAGGTGACATCTCAAGTAGAACAGTATGTTAATACAAGATAGATGACCTAGAAAGTGGACAAGTACACAATAATTTCACATGAGTCTAGCTATGAAATGATGCTTGATGTTTGCTTCTCCAGCCAAACTTGAATGTGGCATCAATGGAATAACACACGATGATATGTTAAGGTGACTTGGTTAGTTATGACTAAAAGAAGCCTTGTAACTCATAGTTGTCTATAATTCATGTATGATCCAAAATAAGTAAGCATAATTTTTTGTAGCGAAACCTTGTGTAAATAGAATCATCACTAAAGAATTCAACAAATAATTATTTCAATTCATCTTAGTATGCGAGAGGGTACACCATGATTACGTATCCATATTTTCACTTTATTTTTTGTGGATATGCATCATATGGGTCAATAATGGCTTGAAGAATGGTTCATTCTGGCAAAATCCTTTTCTTTATTATATAAATAATTAATATTGATTATAAATTCGTCAAATATATCAATATAAAATGAAATATTCAAAAACACCTAATACACAAGATATAGAAAGCTTAAAAATAAAATTTCTTCCTTGAGGTGCTATAGGTTCGACAAACCTTAACATCCTAAAAGTTGATTCTAGTCAACATAATCACTTCTTTGTTTAACCCCACTCTTGATACATGCCTCAAAGTTAATGACTTGTTGTACAAATCTTTTCACTCAATGGTCTCTTCTTATTTCCTCAACATCCTTACATTTTACTTGAATGACTGCCTCCTTGCCTTTACTTATGCCATCTCTACTCTTGGCCCACCCTTAGTATTTTGTCCCCTCCAAGTATATTCCTCTTTCCAAAAAAACTTTCCTTGATCCTCAACAAGGTCTAAAATAGATATTAAATTCGTAAAAAATGCTATATATATAGAAATTTATAAAACAGAAAATATGTTACTGAAATACTAACATATGTATATAAATTATTGATCAATAGCTCCTATTATGTGGGGAAAAGCTCCTTTTATTCTTCTATCTCAATCTTATACATGACCATCTATGAATGTTTGGTGAGATTTTGTGATGTATTGCATAATCACATGGCACATGAAAAGCCGAAAAAAGTGCATCCCAAAGTGGTGAAATATTTTAGAATAAAAAGTAAAACCGATTAGGTCTGATAAGTGAAACATGAAAATTTCAGAAGTTCCAAGTGCTTGGAAATTTTTTATTTTGTAGGCCAAGTTCCTATTTTAGCCACCTTTTATTTTGGAAATCTTGTTAGTAAAATATATTTCTTTAATACATTTAAAAGTAATTTTTGCACATTTAAGAAGCTATGCATTGTAGATGGGCATTTCTTCACCGCCCTTCTATTTTTTTATTCCCAGCTGCAAATTTAAGGATTCCTAATTATGCATCGTATAAATTCAAGGTTAGATCTTCCTCTCAAAATTCTTGGATGTTAGCTTGTCATCTTAAGGCTAAGCATGCCAAAGAAGAAACAAAAAGGGTGAAGGCTGTACTAATCTTTCTAAATTTTTATTTCACTATGTTTTTAAGTGAACTTGGAAGGAGAGTTGAGTCATCACATTAGACATATAATCATTCTTACAAATTATTTTAACTCCACTTGCTTATGGATGACAATAATTTTTTTCCAAAATTAAAACCTATAAATTTGTGGTTTATGTAGCTTCCATTTTATGATTATTTTTGGGTCCTAAATAGTCATTATATATGGTTCCCAGCTAAATAATCATTATATAATATATCCCATAACCCTACCCCAAGTAAAAACATAATCAACTATAAAAATACAAAGAGAGTCAACACCTTAAGGTGATGGCTCCTTTATTTGACTATACATTAATGATGGTTATGATTTAAGGGTCCCAAATAACTCCTTACGACTAGAAAATTATCTCTAAGCACTCATTTTATGTAGTTAAGCCTTTTATGGTATTTTTGCTAGTCCCCCCCTCCATTTTTGGAAAACTATATTAGGTACAACAACATTCAAAGCTGATCCCGTCCATTTGGCCACCTGAGTTTAGCAACTGATTTTATTTGAAGGACATACAAAAATAAATGTGATTACCACCTTTCAATTCTTTTTGAGTGTCAAAATGTTATTGATCTAAGTGAGGTCAACATATTTTTATCCGCTTTTACTTCATGATTTCCTTCAAGTGCATGTTAGTCAACGTCTCATTAGATGAAGGACCTGAGAATGGACATGGTCATGAGGGTCTTTGAATTCTTTTTGCCTAGACTTTGATTGTCACATTTCCTCTCAACGTAATAATCATCAATTAATATATTAATTTCTTATCCTTTTTGGCGATTAGGTTTCTCTTCATAGGTGTTGCCCTTTCTCGCGTTCCCCTCATCCCCACGGTGGCCTTATGCCATCACCTTCCATCTCTGGGCTTTCATTCGGTGGGGCTAATCTCCTGCCTTGGTCTCTCATCTCGGGCTTATCTTGTGATATTCTCCTCCGCTCTGAGTCATATCGCGAGGAATTGACCTTTTGAGTTTGAGCCAAGCCCCCCCAGCGGCGCCGCCCACAGCCGTATAATCTCACTGATCAGTGAAGTCACCCCATCTATCAAATTTAGAAAGGGTCAACGAGTTCCGATCGGGTGTTAGGATCTCGATCACGGCCCTTCTACCCCCGCCGGGATTTATGCCCCCAAGATTCCCTCTCTCCTCTCTCTCTCTCTTCCCTATCTCTTCCCTCTCTCTCTCTTCCCCTCGATCTCTCTCTCTCTCTCTATCTCTCTCTTCTCTCTCTCTCATATTTCGTTCGCGTCAGCGAGCGGGAACTCTATTCGCGCCCGTTCGGCCTGAGCGCGAAGGCAGAAAACCACGCTGAGCATCTCCAGTTCCCCCCCTTCTCTCTAGCTGTGTCTCTGTCTGAACGGGAGTGTCAGTGTGTGAGAGAGGCCGTGGGGTAGGCGGAGAGAGTGAGGGGAGGCAAAGGAAGGAGCCAGATGTCGGAGCCCGCTGCGGACGTGGAGTTGACTGCCGCGCCGGAAGGGAGCGCGGAGGAGTCTCCGGCGTCGTCTGGGAAGCAGCCCAAGGCGGCGACTGAGGCGGAAGTCCTCTCCGTAGAGCTTCCCGCGCCGGCCGGCTGGAAGAAGAAGGTAATTACGCTGCTCGTCCCTCTCTTCCTGTTCCTGCTTTCTTTCCTTGCACTTCGGACAATTAGGTCCGGGGGCTGTGTTGCATTCACGCCTGGTTTGTAAGCTTGGGATTTTGTCATTCGGATAGATCCTCCAAGCTCGACGCTCTGCCACTTCCCGTAGAGTTGTCTTGTGGTCAGCTTACTCGTGTGTATTGAAGCTCAGAGCTGTTCGACGTCGTTCTAGGGTTTCGAAACGCATCGCGTTTCCGTAGTTAGAGCTTACTAGTTGATCTCTTCAGGCATATAGTCTCAGAAAGCATTTGCTGTCCGAACCCTGACTTTGAATTATACGGCGGGGCTCGATCTCACTTGGACTAAAAAGAAATCAGTTGTCAGTAGGGCAATTCAAATGAATTTAGCGTAGGTTGGCGTTTACTTGACGTCTGATACTTGGTTCTTATTCCCCATTTTCCTGTTAATTATGCGTTCATGATGGTTTCCAAGGCCACGGAGATATAACTGTTAATATTCCTTGCCCAGGTGTCCCCTGATTTTATAGCTGGAAGTTGCTAGTCCCTCTGAAAAGAAAATTGCTTTGAGACGTGTGTCTCTCTAACGAGGCATGTAATTCTGCATGTAATCTCGTCTAATTTTCAAATTCTCTCGTGTCTATTTTGAATATGGTTTCTAGGGTTAATGTTTCAAACAAGTGAGATTGTCCTCATTATGTTCCATTTATTGCTACCAATGGATGGCAAAATTACTGAAAGGGAGAGAACTGTGTCCCTTCCCTTTTCTATGTGTATGTCTTCATTTCTGTTGTCATACGAGTGTTTTTAATATATTCGCCGTCCTTCTTGCCTCATATTTTTTTATTCCTTTTATCAGTGGTTCATTTTATTTATTTTTCTCGTACTAAAAACTTCTATTAAAATATCTCTTATCGTTCTCTTCATTGAATATTTTAAAAATATTCTGGGCATTTTAAAAAATATTTTTTTATCATTCTGTCTTTCATTTATTTTTTCTTATTTCTCAGTACCTTATTTCGAAATTTATTTTGATAGTATATTTTAATAGATAATTAAGAGAATTTCTTCAATAAAGAGGGAATTGTCTTATAATATATTTTTTTGAGTTTATTCATGGAGTTCTATTCTATTTGATTTTTTTCTTTTAGTTAAGCCGCATATTTTGTACATATAGGATGCAGATCATATGCCGCTTTTATGGATCCTTTCCTTCTTCTGTCAAGGGTGTAAAATGAATTGGCTAGTATGTTTACTGTATATTTTTAGTGTGGTTTAAGAAATGTTTTGATATGAAAATGGTAAATAGGCTGCAGAATCACTCGTCCCTTTTAATTGCTTTAGTAGTTTGTTGAATTTTTTTCTTGGATAAAGCTGGCATCATATGCTTTATGTTTGCTTCACAGGTGCATTAGACTCTAGTTACCGTCTGTTTAAGCTTTAATACTAGATGTTTTCATTAATTTACTTCGTTAGGGTATCTTTCCGAGTTTCTCTCCTCGAGATATGCAGACTAGAGATTCCATTCACTGTAGGAAATAGTAGGGAATCCCGTAGGTGGTTTCTTGGCTTAGATGCTTTTGACTGCTGTCTTTGATGAATCCTGACACATATTTCTTGATGTTGATGGCTTGGGATTTCATCGACACAGAGTTGGGTTGAATGAAAATAAGCAAACAAGGGCAGCTATTTTCTCATGTTCATATATGTATATATATATATATATATATATACATATACATATGGAATGTGCTAAACCCGCATTTTTGGGGTTTCGGTTGTCAGTTTTTTGTCAAATATAAATATTTTGAACGTTACCTTATTTTCCGTTAGCAGTTTGTTGGACTATCCAAAAGGCTGCAAAACTATGGAAGTTTGTATAAAATGATAATAACAAGGCGTTCAACTGTCGAGGACATGATTTTACGTTGTATAAGAGATCTTCAAAGGAAAGTGCAGTAAGGCGCTACATGGATACCTAGGGGGAAGCATTTCAAAAATTGAGTCGTCATTTTTTGCCAGTTGGCTCTATTTCCTATTTGGGTGGAACCTGAATAATAGATAGTCCAAAAGAGGCCAATCAACCAGAAAGGGGGAAACAAAAGCAGTAGATGGAATCTTTGATAAAGTTACATCTATATATAAATATTTTTTTTATCTAAAACATGTGACAAATCGATGATTTTTAGCGTGGCAAGTTTTAATCAGCAACTAATGGAAGAAAAGGGTAGAAAGAGGCGTTGTTGGCAGCAAGTCACGAGTAACGTTGATGTCAGTCATTGGTCCAGTAGGGAGTATTTATGTAATTTTATTTATCCTTTAGTAAGATTCTCATCTCTCACCCTAGTTTTATTCTTATACATTTTTGTCCATTGTTTTAGAAACCAGATTGCAACTCGATTTGGTTGGGTTCTTGCAAATAATTGAATATTTTCCAAAAGTAAAAAAATATAAGGTAACATGAATTATGATAATAACCGTGCAATTGAAGTCGGATGAAATTCGGAAAGGAATGTGTAATAGTCCTTTATGGAGTTTAAATGTATTATTTTGAATAATGCTATTTGAATTGAGCTGACATAATTACCGCCTTAACTTCTCCATTCGACTATTACTTTTGCTAGACATTGACCTTAAAGCACTGTCTTCGCTCCCATCTGATGTTCTAGCAAAATCAATCAAAATCAAAAGCGGGCTAACTATATTGACCTTTAGATGGATTGGGTTTCGTCAGTTGGTTGAGCTTGAGTCCATTGTTATCCATTCAGTATTTAAACTTAGAAAGGTTAAACTATTTTTCAGAATAGTCTGTTGTTAGTCCTGGGTCTGATAAGTAGCATAGAAAATGAGAAAAAAAACATAGTACTTCTCAATAATGTCAATTCATTTTATTGTTCCAGCCAGAAGAGTTGGACAACAGACGCTGATTTTCGAAACATTTTGGTTTGGAGGATTTCGCACGGGCGCTACTTTTATGGATGTTTGTTTTGCGATGTATACTGTCTTCGTGAAGAGAAAGAGGACTTATGATACTTACTCCTTGGATTCTCATTCTCTCAGGAGATTGGGTAGTTGCACTTGAACTCTGGTGCACGGTGGGAATGGACAATTCTTACTGTTGAACTTTGGTTAAGTTTGAATTGCCATTTAATATGAAAAATGTTTCACACTATTTAATAACTAGGCTTTCATGCATTTGTTTTAGGGGAGAAAGGGGTTAATAGTTAAAGTTGCCTAAGAAGCTTGTGAGAATTTAAAAGAGTTGATAAGATCGGTTGGGATTGAAAGAGGTCGTCTACTTTTTGGTTTTTGTCCCAGGCAAGGCATTGTTGGTGTAGGATACCAACGATGCAAAGAGAGTTCTTTTGGAGATAACTAGTCAAACATAACCCCTTTTTTATCTAATGATTCTGTGATGCTGACCACTTTATACAGAAAAAAGTGTGCATTTGAAGGAAAATGATGTTTGACATCGTCCGGAACCAAAGAAAAATCTGTTCGAAGGGACCTAAGGTTTAACTTTGTTTTGTCCTTAGCTCATTATCAGAGTTGTTTGTCAGTGAAAAAAATATTGGGATTCCTTCGTGTTCTGATGTGTTTAGAGATAAAAGATTGCTTATACCGCGCGATGACAGAAGTAAATAAAAAGGGTAATTACGGCAGTTGACGATATGAATATATTTGTTGTCTTGGCGAAATAGATTCTTTTACAGTTTACACCTCAAGAATTAAATATTATCGTCAGTTCTCAGTTTAAGGCGCCATAATTGTTTGATTAGGTGTGCGGCAAAGTTATAAAAAGAGGTATCATCATGGATGCCTTTCCTTCAATGATGCCCAATCTGTAAAATGAAATTTTTTAGATTGGTATCTGACGCTTACAGTGTGAAGTCTTACACGGCGGAGGATAGTTTACTATCAGATGAGTAAATAGAATTTTTTGATCTTTGAATAAGAAGTGATTAAAGGACAGAGTGAGCTTCGTGCACGATTGATCTTTGACGCTTTCAAGAGAAGTTTAATAGAACTTGTTCTGTTTCCTGAGATCATATGGGGTTTTACCACACGTTAGCCCTTCACATATACATTTCTGGTAATGAATCTAATTGCTGGATAAGTTAAGAGTACAGTTTCTTTTTCTTTCTGTACACGTTAAAAAGTTAGAACTAGAGAGGCTTGATAATTTTTTAGGGCACTATATTTGGAAAGTGGAAAGTAGCTGAAGCACATAGTCTGAAACAGCAGACATGCTTTTTAGGGCACTGCTTTTGTTTACAATGAACAGTTTCATGGTGTGTATGTAGTATTGGAATGTTCCGAGCAGTAGTTTATGCCACCAGAATCCTAAACGGCATGCTTAACAGCTGAAAAGAGATTTGCCAATGCGTTCAAACCCAGTTCATGCGGGTTGGGTTATTCTTCACGAGGGAGGACCATCGCGCCATAGTTTCTGGAGTTTCCGAGTCTGAAACACACAGGCTGAGATGGTTGGTGGAAGGTGCGAGCGTTGGACAGATTTTGCTTTCTCCCATCCTCAAAACATGATTTCGAATTCCCCTCCTGAATATTTTGGTGTTACTCCGAGATTGTTGGACCTGGGCATTAGATTTTTTTTGTTTCTGCTGAAGAAATCCGATGCATCTGCCGTTGACCTCGAGACATTTTCTTACCCCTAGCGTTGCTTTTATCTTGCAGTTGATCCCGAAGAAGGGCGGGACCCCGGGTAGGAACGAGGTGGCCTTCGTGGCGCCAACCGGAGAAGAAGTGAAGAACAGGAAGCAGCTCGAGCTGTATTTGAGGGCGCACCCGGGGGGGCCATCTCTGTCCGAGTTTGACTGGGGAACTGGTGATTCTGTCTACCTCTACCCCCCATGGCTGGAGAGAGAGAGAGAGAGAGAGAGAGAGATGTTTGTACCGGAGGATTCGATTTCTTTCTCTGGGTCTGAATTCGTCGGTGTTTCCCGGGTTTTGCAGGTGACACGCCGAGGCGCTCTGCGAGGATCAGCGAGAGGGCTAAGGCGGCGCCGGAAACGCCGGAAGGCGAGCAGCCGAGGAAGAGGGCGAGGAAATCCGCAACGAAGAAGGGAGACAAGGAGAGCAAGGTCACCGGCGGGGAGGCGGAAGCCGCCGCCGCCGAGGGAGATGCCGAAATGAGAAGGGAGGCGGAGGACGGCGGAGCGAAGGAGGCCGAGCCGAAGGAGCAAGCGGAGGATGCTACTTCAGCGGAGCAAGGAAAGGCCACGGAGGATGCTACTTCAGCGGAGCAAGGAAAGGCCACAGAGGAGGTGACAGCGGATGTGCCGCCGCCGCCGCCGGAGGAGGAGAAAGAAGGGGCTGCCCCGTCGGAGGTGGGAGAGAAGGTCGCCGTGGAAGAACCGGGCGGCGAAAAGTCGGAGGCCCAACCGGCGGCCGAGGGGGAGGAGGTGGAGCCCGGCGAGCCCATTCCGGAGGCAGATGGCGGCCCCTCCGTGAAGCACGATGACTCCCAGAAGCAGGCAATTCCTCCCACCGTCCAATGCTGAGATTTCCCTCGCCGCCGCCGGCACCTGCCGGCGTTTGTTCCCCATTCCCCGTCCGTGTCTTAAATTTTATTTTCCTTTTATTTGGCTCGAACCACCACCTCCACTGAGTAACAGTCCAGACTATCTGTGTCATCGTCGTAGTTAAGTCTAATAGGGAGAGAGAGAGAGAGAGAGAGAGAGAGAGAGAGAGAGAGAGAGACTGTGCAGTTGTGGTTGTCTAACACTCTGGGTGTTCATCGTTGGGGTATCATGTACTACTTACAACCTGCGTCTCTCTCTCTCTCATGCCTGCGTTCTTCACCGGTGCCGGGGAGGAATGGAGGAGCGGACATCCACGAAGAAGAAGAGGAAGAAGAAAGAATCCCGAAAATCGTATGAGCAACAGAGATGGGGAGAAACAGATATGAGGGGGCGAGGGGGGGGCGGGTCGGCGACAGAGATGAGATCTCCAAGCTTCACTCGCAGGGCCAGCTGCACAGGCCGCACACCACCAGACCATTCCCGTTGCAGCCAGTGCACCGCCCGCCCCTCCGGCACCGCCATCTCCGACCACCACCGCCCCCGCATCGGGGGCACACTGAGAAGCGGAAGCCGCCGCACCCTCCGCAGGGCCGCCGCCGGCGTTGGCGGAGGTGGGCAGTCCCTCGAGGAGCGGCAGCAGCTGCACCAAGTCGGCGCCGCCGAGGTCTCTGCCGCAGACGAAGAGCCTGGGGAAGGAGGGCACAGCGGGGCCGCCGAGGGCCCGGCGGAGCTCCTCCCTGTAGGCGAGGTGCCTGGAGACGTCCCGCTCGTAGAACCGCATCCCCAGGCTCTCCAGCAGGAGCCTCATGCTGTTGCAGTCCTCGAACGTCTTCCTCACCCCTCCCAGGCTCGTTATGTACAGCACCGCCGCCTTCTCCCTCCCCGGCATTCTTCTTCTTCTTCTTCTTTTGCTGCTGTTGCTGCTGCTGCTGCTGCCGCTGCCGCTGATTCTTCTTCTTCCGTCTTCTTTTTCTCCGGCGGAGCACGCAGTCGGAGTCTTGGAGATTTTGGGAGGGGAGACGGCGGTGGGGACGACGGCCTGGCGTTTTCTTTGTCGCCGGCGCCCCCATCGTCGTCCTCCTCGAGGGCCCTAATGAGCTCGGCGACGTCGATGATTTGGGGCTGCTCCGCCGCTTCCTGCAGCTCCGACGGCGGCGGAGGCGAGAGCCCGTCGGCGGCGAGCACCCGGAGGACCCGGAGGGGCTGCCTGCTGAGGCCCAGCCGGCCGAGGATCCTGTCCTTCATCTCCGCCGCCGCCGGAAGAACAAGGACAGGAGGAGAGATAGCGGAAAGGACAGGCTGCTACACTTCTACTGACAGAGGCGTCACCGCCGCCTCGCCGGCAGATTCCCGCCGTCGCAGTTGCAGAAAAGGGACTGCTGCGAGGATCCCCCTCCTGCCGTCGCCGTCGCCATCGCGGAAAAGGGCAGCCGCTGTATTACCTCTCCTGGGGCCTCGCCGTTTCATGCGGCCGCTCTCGACTTTTGAATTTTGACAATAGCCGGGCTAAATCCCGCAGACAGAACGGTAGAGAGAGAGAGAGAGAGAATGAGGATAGACAGACTTCCAGGATCATCATCATCATCGTCTCTCTCTCTCTCTCTCTAGATGAGTCCAAGCCCCCCGGACCTATCTGAGAGGAAACAAAGATAGGGGAAAGAAGAGAGCGGAGGGGAAAGTATCCATCCCATTCAATCCATTTATTCTACTGCGAGAGAGGGAGACAGGGAGAGAGAGAGAGAGAGAGGAGAGAGGGAGAGAGGAGAGAAGTTGCCCGTCACCCGTAAAAGGAAATCCTCCCGTGGCTCACTCAGGTGTCGGCGACGGGAGAGCCGATTCTGATCTTGAAGTCAAAGCTGACGCAGGTCAGCTGCGCGCCGCCCTCTCCAAACATCTGCATCGTCAGCGTGTAGGAGCCCTGCGTTGCGCCGCCAACATTGATCACCTCACGTTACCACAAGCAAAATAGGAGAGCCCATATATACATGTATATATCTCTTTCTCTCTCTATATTTTATTATCGGCGGACTGTCTGCATACCAGCAGACGCCTAGATTCAGGGACCTAGGAGCCTGGATTGATTTTGTGGGAGGGAGGGAAGGTCAACCAATCAGTCATGAATCGTAGTTTAACCTTTTTCGCATAAAATTAAAACACCATGTACACCAAAGTAGGCTGATGGACTAAAAACTGAGGAGATAAACAGTTTTTAGGGACCCAGGGATTTCATTGGAAAACAAAGAGACATCAGAAGCAAAAACCAGAGAACCCTGAGAAGAATGAATGCAAAACTTTCTAGCTAAGAGAAAAAGGAGACGGGCTCGTGATCTCATCAGATGAAGAACAGACCAAAATCCTCGAAATATTCGGGGCGAAAACAACTTGATCTAGCCACGTCCATTTTATGAAGTTTTCCATGCTGAGCTCGGTTTCATTCTCCAAATTCATGATCTCGCATGAAGAACACACTAAAATCTCTAATGGTCGTGTGAAAACCACCAAAGACCGAGGCGAGAAGAACTTGATCTGGTTTCCCCACATTATTGTGTCGTCCTCCCACGATGGGAGAAGGCTCTCATCATCCAGATTAACATGATTTTGAATGCTCAGAAAGGGGGAGAGAAGTCATACCGGTGGAGTGAACGCCGGGAGGACCTCGTCATGGGAGACCAGGAAGTCGCCCTGAGAGACTGGGCATCGAGTCTCCTCACAGAACCGATGTGTCTCCTGATGAACGTGGATCCCAAAATACTTCACTTCAATCATCACCTCCCCATTAGCAATGGCCTCCCCTGTATTTGTTTTATCGTAACAGGAGAACGCTAGTGTCAGGAAATATCACCGACTTGATGAAACACCAGAGAGCCAAAATATAATTGCATACATGTAATACCAATCTGAATATAGTTTTCATGGTCGTCTTGATATCGGGGGTCTCTGAGATCATCCAGTTTTAGACGACATTACACGGAGTAGTCTATGGAAACCAGCTACGACAAGTCATGGGAAAACTGGAGCTCAGTTAGTGACGACATTATCGTCTTTAAACTCCACTTGGCCCCTCCAGCCTGGATAAATGGATGGCACAAGTCACCCTACTGTCAAGGGTCAACGTCCAAGGAGATGAATGTTTTCACATCGCAATTTACGCAGAATCTATGGGTTTCGCAGAAGATTTTCTGATATTCAACTAAATTTTCTACTTCGAATCTCTCCATCCATCCCAGTTCAGATTGATTGATGACGGAGAAATTCTACATGCGGAGAAATAGTGATCCTGAGGAAAGGGCGAATACCAAACAGGGAGAAAGAACAAACGGAGGGATTTCAACTTCTCGATACCTGCGGTTGCTGATATGCTGAACTTGGCCGGCTTGCCCCGCACCACCGGATTGGGTGTGATCTCGACCCTTTTTATTGTGACGGGATAATCCGCCTCCTTATCTGCAGCGTCAGGAGGGAAATTCAAGTGAGGAAAAATAGGCTTCTATCCGTCTATCTATCTATCTATCTATCGATGAGAACCGACGACGACGCGGTTCTCAGGTTGACCAGCAATCAACGCGATGAAATTTCAACGACCCCAGGGCAATCATCGATGTTCGAATCACGCAGGAGAACACATACAAAAGCAAGACCAAGGGAGACCGAGCGAGACCGAGAGGAATGAAGACGAAGGACCGTGCTGCTCACCGCAATAATGGACCGAAGTTGCGACGACGGTGGGAAGAAGCCGAAGACAGACGCCGAGAAGAAGCACGAGCCACCTGCTCGCGGGCGACGGCGAACTCGCTCCCTCCATGCCGACGCAGGAGAGGAAACGAGGTGGACGGCAAGCAGAGGGTGGGGGAGGACCGGCCGGTAAAGTGGGGAAGGAGAGACGCGCGTGGCGCTTGTTATCAAATTCCGATCATCATCATCATTATCGAAAATAAATAATTCTGACATTCTAGAAGACACGTCCTAAAAAATAATTGGGCGTACGGCTTGAAAGGGCCGACCGGTAGCCACGTGGCAAGATGTGCCAGACTATTATTAGCGGCGGTAATATGGCGCGCGTCTAGGGGCCGTAGAAGCAACCCTGGCGGTGGGGGGTTGGGGGGGGGGGGGGGGGAGAGGGCGACGAGGGAAGAACACAACAATCAGGAACAAATGGAGAAGGGCGTCCATTCCTCAGAACGACGGGAAGAGTAGTAATAGTAGTTGTAGCAGTTATTAAGAGTAGGGGTAAAAGAAAACAGGGACATCACGCGGAGATGGGGGTCTGAAACTGGGAACGGCAAAAGAAAGGAAAGGGAAGGGGGTTGAGAGAGAAGGGGGGTCACTGGGTGATGGGGGTGGTCCTACTGCTGAGCGCACTGGACGCGCTGGGCGCCGCCGAGGCTCTCGTCGTCCTCTTCGTAGGCCTCCTGGGCGGCTTGCTGCTTGCGCCGCATCTCGTCCTCGATGTTCACGTCATGGAGGGTCGTCTCCTCGCACTCGTCCAGCTCCATGTCCGTCAGCTGCGCCGCCGCCCGCGACGGCAGCACCGCCTCCAGCGACTTGCAGTGCTCCACGCTCAGCGAGTCCGGAAACTCCACCGTGAAGTGGATATACAGCTTCCCCCTCATGAACGGCCTCTGGTACATGGGCATCCCCTCGTCGTTTATCGCCTTGAATTGATCTGCACACCACACCCACGGATGCACCCGTCAGGAATTAACGTAGCCTCTTTTCTGCTTTTTTTTAGATGAGCAGCAACCAGTGGTGGGGATGGAGAGGAGGGAGAAATATATGACGTACCGGGCTTGATCACCTCTCCGGGGTTGCTCTTGATGAGGAGCTGCCGGCCGTCCAGATGGGTCAGGACGAACTGGAAACCGCAGAGGGCCTCGGTGAGCGAGAGCGTGTGCTCCAGGAAGAGGTCGTCGCCCTTTCTCTTGAACTTGGGGTGTTCCTTCTGCTGCAGGACGAACACTATGTCGCCCGTGATGCAATCAGGCTGCACGGAGGACAACGGCCGCAAGACCTCGGGGGTAAGAAGAAATAAACACAGAAAGGAAAATAAAAGGTCCAGTCATGCATGACTTGACTTACCGACTCGTCGGCTTCACCGGGGAATGTGATCTTCTGGCTATTCTGCATGCCCTTCTCGACGTGGACCTCGAGAACCTTCTTCTCCTGCACAACCTTCTCGCCCTTGCACTGGGGGCACCTGTCCTTGTCACTGATGGTCTCGCCGGTTCCCTTGCACTGGTTGCAAGGGTGTTGCATCTGTTGGATCATTCCAGGTCCGAGCTGCCTGATAGACACCTTAATTCCCGAGCCCTGGCAGCCGGGGCATCTCATGGATGCGCCGGATTTCGAACCTTTCCTGCATTTTACAGGGGAGAAAAATGGTCGTCATAAATTAAATAAGCCTTCTGTTCTCGTTCTTCGAAACAAATCGGTAACAAACAAAAATGAAACCCAAAAACAAGTGTGTCCTCGATCTCTATTCGCGCTCAAATGTGATTTGAAGCGATGAGAGGAGCTTCTAGTAGATAAAGCTCACCCTTTGCACTTCGAACAGATGACATTTCGCGACAGGGAGAGCTTCTTTGATGTCCCACTGTAGAGGTCCTCCAGGGAAACTTTGAGTGGATGAATGACGTCCTCGCCTCTTTTCTGCCTTCGTCCACCTCTGCTGCTGCCCCCTGGAAAAAAAAGTGAAATTTGTGAGGCAAACCAACCACATGAAGAGATAAAAACAGCACGGAATCTAGATGAACAGAAATCAAAACCGCAACCCAAAAAATTATTTTTCTGACCTCCGAAGGGGCTGCCGCCGCCAAAGAATGATTGGAAGATGTCAAAAGGATCGTGCCCACCACCACCACCACCCATTCCTTCTTTCAACGCATCTTCTCCATATTGATCGTATATCTCACGCTTCTCTGGGTCACTGAGAACTTCATATGCCTGAGCTAATTCCTTAAACTGCAAGCCACATAAAAAAGAAAAGTTCTATTAACCCGTGTACGCCCGTGTAATAGAGGTATCATGCTGCAGAATTGTACGCCCGTGTAATACAGGGCAAAAATCTCTCTTCTTCAAATAAGCATCTCAAAGGAAAATAAATTACCCGATAAGAAGCAGCCTAGTTAGCAACACACAGAGTTTCTTAAGGATATATGAAATCATATGTGGACTATCATATTAATAGACCCATCGTACTTTCACATGAACGATCCGGTTCCACCGAAGTCGCCATAGTAAAAACTTTTGAGGTGTACAATATTTTCCGAAACTTGCAAATCATTTTAAACACCCAGATACCCAAGACGCCTGACAATGAAAAAACATGATCTACACTCACACATCTGCGGGAGGATCCCTTGCGCGCGAAAAAATGTAGCGATTAACCTAACCAATTCCATAAATATATATGATAATCAGGAGATTGAAGGCGCAGTTGACAGCTAATACTTATCTAAGAATTTGTTGTTAGATACGTAAGCAAATCGCCAAAAAAAAAAAGAGTCCAAAAGACAGTTTGCATGAACACAGCGACACAAGACGGTCAACACTAACCATAAGTCTTACTTGTATAAACAATGTCTTCTGCGGAACTTTAATATCTTTTGCATAAGGGCTGAACAAAGAGGATACGGCACTCAAAATAATACAACTAGACGGGGAAAGGTACCACGCAGCGCCCTAAGAGAAGTCAACAAGATAGGAATCTCATCCTTCAAGGAAACCATACCCAGAAAAAGAATAACATCATCGACAAGAGAAACGGAGGGTAACAGCAATTAACCCAAGGAAGCCAAATAGGCCCTCATCACGATTATAGATCAACAGATCTAACGGTTTAGCAACAAGGCAGAAGAAGCTGTCTTGAAGAAAAATATCACCGGTTAAAACAAATAAATAAATCGTGAAACGAGGTAGATCCATCAATTTAATTAACTGATGGCCGAAACCTACAACGATTCCTAAGATAATATCACAAACAACATCATCGTCACAGAATAAACATACAGTCGTGCAGGAGGGTTACCACTCAGGACGAAATGAGTACCTTCTCAGGATCCCCACCCTTATCAGGGTGATTCTTGATGGCGGCTTTGCGGTAGGCTCGCTTTAATTCATCTTGAGAGGAGTCCTTGGACACCCCAAGGATCTCATAATATCTCTTGTTATCGCTCTTTTTCGGCGCCCTCCCGAACATCTTCGCTGCTCTCCAATCTCAGCACCGCCGCTTCCGTCTGCCGATACCTCCCTCCGCTGGCGGCTCAGCAGACGTCGGAAACCAGTAGATCAGACCACGAACGCTCCGATCCGCACTTCCTCGGTCGCAGCGGCAGTGGCGGCTCTTCCCCCTTTCTGCTCTTTGGGCGCGGTTTACAGCTGCGCAGGAAAGGAAAGAAGGGCAACGTCACCCGGAAGTCCCCCCTCCCAGTTTATGTACCTCACAGTTTTGGGACTTTTCATAAATAAATACTAAATAATTCAGTATTGTCAGAGAAACCTAATGTTCCTGTATATCTACAACTACACACACCGTCGCAGGTGAAGATAGTTATGATATCCCCGCGAAACAACTTTCCTTCCGTTATAAGACTTATATAGGGTTAAAAACATTATTGTTCAGTTCCTTGGAGGTTAGAGCTAAAATAGTTTGAGAAGTTAACAACCAGGGGGAGAGTGGGTAGGGACGGCCGAGATTGTCTTTCCTGCAGGCTCCCCAGATCTGGCCCGTCGAACAGCCGTCTAGAACATTCCTAGGCCTTTCCCACCCCGCGAGGTCTTCTCTGCGGTGGAGAATAAAAAGCAACTAATTTAATGTTATTATTTATTTTTATTTTTGGCCCCCGGGAGGGCCGCTTCTGGAGTGTTCGTCAAAGTCGGCGAGCGCAAACTGACGCCTGGCCGGTTGGGGCCCACTTCCTCACACGCTTTCTTCCTGGTTCGGCGACCGCCGTTTGAATTCCGTTGCCACGATTCCGTCAACGCCGGTGTGCCTGATCGGATTCCTGGGAATCGCTTCCAACCAAACCACTGCCCATCGGTCAGAGAGCTCGATGGGCCCGGCCGGGCTTTGTGGGCTTATCCCATCCTATTGAACCTCTCTCTCTCTCTTTCCGCCGTCTGTCCCGCCTTTCTTTGAAGTTGGATTGCAGCTAATCTGCCGCTCCATCCGCCGGCGCTCTGCTGCTTCCGCATATCGCGGAGACCTGTTGGTTCCCCGAAGCCGCTTTTAGAGGTAATCTTCGGTCAGCGGTTTCTGTAGCATGGAGCGGTAGAATAGATCGGAAAGGAGATCATCATCAGGGCCACAACGGGCACAATCGACGGTAGGTGAAGTATCCTTCTCCCTTGTCAGCCGAACGGTGCGGGAAATAGGGAGCGTGACTCACCCTGCGCAGTCATTCCTAGCTTGGTTTTTTATCTTGGCCTGTTCCCCGGTCTTTTTCTCTGGTGAATAGAACGTTTCCCTGTGCGTATGAATGTGGGGGCTTTCTCCTTACTGAAGGGTTTCCGACTCGGACTCCTTGAACGTGCTTTCTTGTGCTGAAATTATCCCTCTAAAGAGATAATATGTTGACTGGTTTACAACGTATTCTTTCCATCATTCTTTCTCGAAACTGTTTGTGTCATACAAAAGTATATGTAAAGTGGACATAAGGATAGGGATTTCATCATGAAATGTATATCTGAAATGGGTGCTACTTACTATTTCAATGTAGTTGCTCGATCATATCTGAATTCAGGTATTCAGCATAGGTCTAGAGTCATGCGAGACCTGACACACAGTCAGAGCCATTCTTAGTTAAACAAGTTGGGTTGTTTCCTTGTCCACTGGATAAACATGATATCATGTTTAGGTTCAATATTTAAAATCAAGATATCATGTTTTGCCTATTTCAGCGTTATGCTGAGGCCAACACATAAAGTGAAGAGATGTGGCCAATTAGTGGAGTGAATCTTTTCTAATGTTGGTAATACACTTTATAATAGATAAAAGTCAAGTAAAAGAGTGGTCTCTGGGATTTTTAATGAGAATCATCCAGTAACAGTGATCTGACTCAAAATATCATTTTGAAACATTATGCCCGTGTATGCTTGATGTCATATGAGATGATGGTCGGACTATTTGACCTGCGTGCCTGGAGATCATATTTAAATAAGTAATGCATTGAGGATTATGTTTGGGATATTTCTCATGCTGGATATCATCACACTATTAGTTTTATGATCTGTATGGTTTGCATCACCCAATTTTGTTCTGTAAATATTTCATTGGGTAATGTACTTTTTATTTTCACAATGGAAGGAAAGTGGTTTCATATATCCTTGGACAATCAAGGAGATGAAGACTAGAGGTAGACAGACCAGCAGTAGAGAAAAACAGGATATATATCCTGAAACAGCAATTGTCCGGAAGCTGAAGCCTAGGGTCAAGAAGAAGCCTCCGAAACAGGATCCCAAGAAACCCAAGAAGCCTCCTACAGCTTTCTTCTACTTCTTGTGAGTACCAATTATTTAGTCTATCTGTTCCTCTAATTCTATTCAGCTTTTATCGTGATATGTATTAGTCTAACCACTATGAAACTCTTCAAGTCATTTTCATTTTTTATGTAAGTTATGAAACATCTAGATTGTTTTGTTTCTCCTTCATTTATTCTGAGATACTGTAAATCCTTCTGACCAATTACAATCCTGAGCTGATATGGTATTCTACTACTTTTAGGAGAACGGTTTTGTTTTTTTACCGAAATCTGTTGTTGGTTCCTTCGCATCTGACTGTAAGAAATGATGTTCCAGTCGCTGGAGTCCTCAAAGAGAAAACAATGTGGAAATCAGTTTTGGAGCAAATGTACAATTCTGAGGAAATGAATTGCTCATGCATGATTGCTGAAATGATTCCTCACTCTTCCAAAAAAGGGTATCAGCTTTAGGAAATTTAAATTCTTTGTACAATCAGTAGATTCAGTGCCAATTCTGAAAGTAATTTATGATGGGAATAAATCTTTCTTATTTCCTATTGAAAATGCTATGTTTTTTTCTTTATCATCTTATTCTTTTGTTTGGGGTGGGAAAATCTACCATGGTGATGCAATGTAGGTATGTGCGTCATTTTGCATACCATTGAGTCTAGAATTAGATTGAAACAAAGAATTGATTAAATTTCCTTCGATCAAATGAATAAACGTATAGCTCGAGGCATTTCGAACACTTTCTGAGGTTTTCAAAATGAGAGCTTCAAGACTTGAATCATGTGAATTCGTGGGAGCCTCAAGCAACTCCGATGCTAGAGGTACCTTTTTAGCTTGCAAAAAGTTCTCAATGTAAAACATTTTGCTGTCAAATGCTAGAAAAGTTCGAAATGAAAAGGCTATTCCCTTAAATAGTAGAAAATAGTTAATGTTTCTCTTTCTTTTACTCAGTATTTTGGATAAACTAGTTTTGCAAGTGTTGAGTCCCAAAATTGTGCTGATCTGTAAATTATCAACACCTACACTTGAAGTGTCAACATTTGTTAAAAGAGTTGATATATGATGAGATCAAAATTCATAAGAAATCTTGAAAGCTTAAGGAGCTCAACTAAGCTCAAGCAGTAAAATCTGAACGGCCCAAAATAAACTCATCTTGGTGGGTCATAAGGTCCAAAATGCATTTCGTTTTAGTATTCCGTTTTATTTGGGACTCCTATCCATTAGTAGATTTCTTATCATATCATATTATTTTTTGCAACTTTGAAAGACCACACACTATAGAAGGAATGAATTTTCATCATAAATTATTTTTTTTTCCTTTTCCCATTTTTACATTTAATATCAGGAGGGATGGAAGAGAAGATTTTGATTTTTGTGAAAAGTCATCCCCTTTTACAGTACTGGCTTCTTTAAATACGGGAAAAGTTGTTGTAGACCAGTAAATAATAGGATATGATGAGAAAAATATACTAGTAGATAAAAAATCCACGGATAAATGGGAATAATTACCAACCCTACAGAAAAAAGGGTTTTGGACCTTAGGACCCACCTAAATAACTGCATTTGGGTCTTCCAGATTTTATCCTTACATGCCTTTTGTGTCATATTGCTTGAGCCTTCCACGTTTCTTGATAATCTGTTATTCATCAATACACTTATTCTAGGTCATATTTATACATGCATAATAACTTATTTTTATGTAATCTTGTTTTATGACTTTACAATATCAACTTTTCATGTTGCCTACTTTTTTTATGATTTCTGGACTATAAAACCTTTTTTCTTTTCTAAACTCATGCAAAGATCCTTACAAATTAGTATAAAAAATAAGTTTCGTAATGATTAAAATCTACTTTTTAGGTTCAATAAGCTCCCACTTCTTATGATGATAAAACCTTTGAAACGTAATATTGGTCTCTCCTCTTTTTTGATATCATGCAAGCAGGTGATTAAAGATGCATAGTTTAATTCATGGAATTTGGTTATGACTAGAACATTTCAAGTCATCAGAAATCATTTCAGTAGGCATATTTTTTTTGTAACCACAGTTAAATGATAGAGATATCAAATTTTCTTTTATCCAACATTTTCTACCCCTTCCTAATTACATATACAAGGCAGAATTCGTGAATGTGATGTTTTGATCTCCCTTTCTTTATAGAAACATGATTAGATCAGTAAGTGAGCCTTTGTTGTAGGAAAGTTATCTATTTTTCATCTTTAGTTTCCAAAATTACATTTCACTTAAATTTTTTGCCTTTTAAGTCTCGTTGTAAATAATGATTGTTTCTACTCGATTTGAAATGCAAGTAAATTGCAGATAATGTCATTAAAATCAATGTCTGATATAGAGATCATCAATTTTTTTAATGGAGAGATAGCTCCCCTATACAGTATCCCAATGTAGAGAACGCTTGTGGAGAGAATGATAAATCATTTATAATTTTTTTAGAAAATTTATGTTAGATATTCTTATAAAGAATTTGAGAAAACCAAGTTGCGAGTATGATTTGACTATTTACTGAAGATTATTTGATGCACTCTTTTGTTCCTTCGTACTTTAGGTAAACTTTCTACCTCACAGCTTTTATTACTGTGCAATCGTGACAGTAAAAAATTATTTTCATTTGCGTTAATTGTAAACAGAGATTCATTAGCATTTAGCATTACTTTACATTGAGTGTAGAGAGAGATTTTAGTGATAAATGAAGAGAGGTGAATGACCATCCTTGTTTTGTTTGAAGTGTCAAGTAAAAATTTTCATCATTTGGGTCATTTTGAATTGTTCTCATGATAGTTAAGTCTTGGTCCTCAATATCATGAACTGAAAGCATTTGTCATGTGAATTTATTATTATATATGACGTTATAGTGTTTGAAAGAAGATAATGACCAAAACTTGAGTAAACATATTTTGACAGAATTGCGAAGAATGTGTATTGCATGAAGATCAATAAGAACATAAAGGAACGTCTTAAAACATGATTTTTTTCTTCAAATATTTTAATTTTCTCAATTTTAATTGTTAAAAATAACACAGATTCATAATTTTTGGGTATTTCTGAACCTGTTTGTGCATAAAGATGGATGTTTTCAATGTAAGCATAAAAATTGAAAACAATATCTAAAATTGACAAAAAGTATGATATATGACCGTGAAAGCATGATCCATGACCTCATGAAATTCGTTTCGTGGCATAATGATCTCACCCTTTCAAGTTTACAAAAGTTTAGAAGTATCAACTAACAATTTTTAGCCAATGTTATCCATACATCTTTTACATCAAATGGATTGATCTTTCTGGTTCATCAACTTAGTATCAGCAACTTGACACTTTAAAATTTACTAACATTTTTATGAATATCCTAATCTAGAGAGGACCGTAATACACTTCTGGTTTTATTATCTCGAATGATTTTCTAAAAAACAGCTGCTTCTTTTCTGACAATAAAAGGACCATTAACTGTTAAGATTTCAACTCCTAAAATCCATTGCTTGACTGAATACACTCATTCTTTGCTTATTGGGCTCAGTAGTCTATTGCTCTCTCTTTTGCTATGTCTATCTATCTATCTATATCTCTCTATCTATATATATGTCTGTGCGTATAGAGAAATTTATCAACGAATTTCGACTTAAAATTGTTGAGGCCAGCCAATAAGAATGTTGCGCTCTGGCTCAAGTGCCTATGGTACATTTGTGTTATGGTCACTTACATTTTAATGGACTGAAGTTATTATATCACAAAAATATGATTTTTGGTTTAGCTCCTATTTCAGCCAATTATGATATTTTTGAAGGGTGTTTTTATAAGCAAACAACATTATTTACTGTTTCCAATAAGAATTATGGAGAGAAATATTATCTCTTGAATTATTATATGCTGATATTTATAGTATGTTGACTTCATGATTGAACTACAATCTATATATTTTATGGTAATTTTTTTTAAGACATTTGAACATTTTATAGAGTTTAAGGCTCTCTTGGAAACCTCAAGTGGATATTGTTTTTATGGATAAACTATAAATATTCTTTGAACATATAAAGGGGAGAATTTTTATTTCATGAATTTCCAATAAGAGCTTTTTTTTTTAAACAACATGGTATTATTCTTGGCATGTTTTCTGCTTCTCTTTCTCAATGCTTTCGATTTTCTCCAATAATGAAAATGCCATGATACTTTCAACATGTGGAAAGGAAATTCAGATGATGTGCTGATGCTATTAACTCTGCTTTGAAGGGACGACTTTCGCAAGATCTTCAAAGAGCAGAACCCGGATGTTAAATCAATGCGCGATGTATGAACACCAAGGTTTTTTTCCTTGTTTTCTGCATGACATTCATCTGCTTCGCATGCATTGGTCATCCAGTAATGCGCGGGTTTCAGATCGGCAAGGCCTGTGGAGAGAAATGGAAGACAATGTCATTTGAGGTTAGAGCTCTATAATGCAACAAGCTCTTCAATTGCAATCAGTTGCCTTAGTGATCACCACTCTAGAGACCCCTGTGCAATTACCAGTATGCGACTATCCTGAATTGGAATCAGAATATTTTCATTTGATTTATATCAGGAAAAAGTGGCATATTACGATCGAGCTACGGACAAGCGGGCTGAATTTGATAAGGCGATGTCAGATTACATCAAAAGGAGGGTAATGCACCTTCTTTAATATTTTTATCTCCGTTTGAAGAGTTACACAGCATAGACGTCATTGGCATGGCCCACCACCGCCGGTAACATCATTGTCTACAATCGTTGTTACATGAAGGAAATTGGCGAGGAGGAATCTGAGGAGTCTGACGAGGAATAGCTTCTGGCTGGAAGAGTTGGATGGTCGGAGCCTGTCTCCTCGTTTGAACCAATTCAAATATCCTGGTAGAACCCTCACATAAATCACAGAGGTGTGGAATCGCAGCATGCCCAATTCCCTCGTCACTTATTCTGCGTAGGTAGGTCCCATGAACAACCCTTCCTGTGTTTTTTTTTTCTTTTGGCATCCTGATTGGGTTTAGTGAACCAGTAAACTGAGAAAATGGAAGCTTGCTGCCCTGATCACCTACCGTCTTCTCCATCTTTACTTACATCTGCCGTCCCAAAGAGGTGTTGTTAATGTTACTGACTTGAAGGGACATGTGGGGGTTAACGAGTCACGTTTGTCCCCACGGTGAGGGGTGGTATGATATCACTCTGGCTAGTTTTGTGGTGTTAGAGGAACACTTGGGTCATCCTTTGTTTCGAAAATTATAAAAAGCGAAACCTCCCCCCCCCCTTAAGGTTTGGTGTTTTGGGGCTGGGGCTGGCGGGCTAATGCCCGAGAATGACAGTAGGTCTGTGGAACCCTCTTCTTGGGGCCTTTCTCGTTTGGCAATGTTAAGATCTTGCTATGGGGACACGTGGGAGAAGATGATTCGGTTCTGGCTGAAATTGTTTTCCGAAAAATCTGGAGTGAATGATTGAATCTCTGAACATTCCACTCTTTCTTGAATGCGAAATAGATTCAGAATAACTCTTAAATTATAAAGTGAGACAGCTTTTGTTTTTTAGGGGTTTTGAATGTCCCTCCCACGTCTCTGTCCGTACGTTAGGTGTAGGTAGAAGAGTAGTCTTTGTTTCTAAAAGCTGCAGATCTCTTCTTGGGCTTTAATCATGGGGTAAGGGAGGGAGAGGGAGAGGGAGAGGTAGATCTGTGGAACCCTTCTTCGGGGTCTTTCTGGATCAATGTGGGGGGGGGGGATTGGAGGATGTGAGGGCAGCTTTTGAAGTTTTGGGTTTTGAATGGCCCTCCCACATCTCTGTCCCTGTGTTAGGGATGGAGGTTGAAGAGCAGTCGTTGGAGATACCTTATTAGGCTTAATCATGGTGGGAAGGAGGGACAGGGAGAGGGGGGGTGGGACCGCCAGCTCAGGTGGCAATTTTAGTGGAATGGTGGCAAAGATGACTGGCTGGATATTTGTGGGAAGAAGAGGTTGTCAGTGGCAGCTGCGCCATAGTGCCTCCCTCCCGCCTCCTTCCCATCCTTATTCTCACCACCTCGATTGACAGCGGCGGAAGTGCAGGAGGAGAGGCCTCTTGGGAAGTCCTTCCATGAAGTGTTGGCCTGCACATTGATCTCGGCAAGTAGAAAGTTTGATGCAATCCTCGCATCCCCAAAACACTTCCGGATAGGTAAGTGAGTAGTACATCGTAGGAGGTCAAACAATGGCAAGTAATTGTCAACCAATGGCAAGGACCCGACAGACCTATATTATGGAAGTACCCAATTAAAGAAGGTAGAGTTGTTCGAGGTGTCTCACAGTTAGAATGTCCTATAAAAAGAGTCAAGGTCCATAGGGGTAGCAGGAGGAAAGAGTAAAGGTAGTTTTGGATGAGAACCCTCTTAAGGGTTCAGCTCTCTCCAAATGGTCCCCTTTTTTCTAGGAAATCCTCTTTTGAGGTTTTCCCTTTGTCAATCTACTCATCTTTCTCTCATTGAATTCCAACTCTTGTTTGAAATTGATGGGTCTTATCATATTGATATTTGAGCTAGGTTTTGTTGCATCATGCCATGCAAACCAAATGATATGATCAAACAATTGGATAAAGAGAATGACAAGCTCCATCAAGATCTACTTGACATCAGACAAGACATGGTTACCCTTTTGGAGCAAGATAGCATCGTTGCTCAATACTTGGAGTTTCTGGTACATGCTATAGAGAATTATCTTTAACCCATACATCATCTGCCACGTACATCTCTTGATAAGTCATATACTAACAAAGAGGAAGGCAAGTCGATCAAATCTACTTTTTGGTGAAGAGAGAGGACTGACCTCACATAAATGACCATGCTGTGATAAATTATATTAAGGGGGATTGATATCAACCGCTGCTTACAAGCAATTTTGTTTTGAACCATGGTATGATGCCTGCGACCTTGAAATGTACCTTTTTAATGGTAAACACTTGGAGGGATAGGTTTTTTGTGCTGCATTAAATTTTTTAGTGCACCGACTAGCTAGTTGTGAGAAATTAACTACTACAAGAATGAGCCTTGATAGCACAACCTTTGCCTAGTTTAAGTGGATGACCATGAAAGAATCTTTCAAGAATTCAGAGGAGCTTTGCCATCAACTCTTGGAGTGTTTTTAGTGACAATCTGTTGGGTCCCTTTGTCAATACTTCTTGGAAATTAAATAGTAGGGTTATGTGGTAGAATATTGAGAATAATTTGAGTTAATGGACATAGTAATTATGGACCTTCTTGAACTAATCCTCAAAAAGACTTTTCTTGAAGGATTAAAATGGGATGCTCAAACTGAAGTTTGTCTCTTGGAAATTATAGGGCTAAATGCAATGATGCATATAACAAATAAGTGGAAATTAAAAATTTCACATCAGGTCTTTAGACAATAGGAGAAGAGTTGGAAATCTCAAAACTTTTTGACTCTTATTCAGAAAATCAAGATTATTTCCTGATATGCTAAAGAGGTTTTGAACCTTGTTCTATTTGACATGGAGAACCCAAGGGGGCCAAAGATAGAACCAATACAATCCATGAAGCACAAGGTTTGGTAAAAAACAATTGGCTGACTCTAACACCCTCAGAAATTTAAGCTTGGTGTGCTAGTGGTTTGTGCTTCTGGTGTAATGAGAAATAAACCCTAGGACATCATTGTTGGCATGAGTTATAGATTCCAGTGGTCAATAAGGACCTTCTCAAAGCACTAGTTTATGAAGAAGTAGACAGCCACACAATTTTGTTGAAGGAGATTTGAACCAATATAAAGCTTGCAACCAATGTCATTCTAGAGGACTTGCCACCATAGACCTTTAAATTTATAGGCTACATCAAAGGAAAATTGATCATAGTACTTGTGGATTGTAGAACTAAACATAATTTTATCTCAAAATAAATTACTCATGGATTGAAGCTTTATGATCATGATGACGATACAATTTTGGGTAACAATTAGGACCAAAGATAAAGTGGAAAAGTATGAGAATTTGCCAAGACATCTTGTTGGAGCTACAATCACTTTTAATAATCAAAGATTTCTTACTTCTCCCTTTGTGAACACAGATCCCATATTGGGCATCAAAAAGATAAATACTTTGAAAAAAATTGAACTAGATATGGAGCAAAAGACTTGTCACTTCTAACAGGCCAACAATGTGTGGTCCTTTTGGCTGATTCCCAACTATATCAACCAGACATTTCCTTAAAAATATTGTCAATGGTTATTAAGCAAAATAACGAGCTCTAAATACAATTTTTCAAGATATTGGAGGAGCAGCTTTCACCTAGAAGAAAAATCAACCGTGTTACTATCTTAGAACTCAACTCTAAACTTTACAATGTGTGGCCTTTTTGTTATCTTCACATTCAAAAGGAGGAGATTGAGTGACTTGTCTAGGAGATATTCATCATGGACATCATCTAGCACTCCACTAGTCCTTATTCAAGCCTAGCACTTTTGGAATGAAAGAAAGACAATTCATGATGTTTTCATGTGGATTGACAAACTCCACAAACTCACTATCTCAGGCAAATTTTTAATTCTAGTTGTTAAGGAATTACTCGATGAAGTTAATATATCATCAGATTTGAATCAAGGAAACAAAAAAGAACTGAATATAGCACTTGGACACACAAGGAACACGGAGTTTCTTGTCATGTCTTTCTGATTTCAACTTGTCAATGACTTTTCAAGCTCTCATGAACCTCATATTTTGAGAATTCCTTTGAAAATTCGTTTTGGTCAACTTCAAGGACATCTTGGTTTTTAGCTCCCATGAGGAAACACAACATTTGTCAAAGTTTTCTCTTTACTTCAAAAACATCAATTTATATTAACCCTTAAAAGTGTGTTTGGACAAGATAAAATGAAATATTTAGACCATGAGCATCTTCCAAGGGCATGTCGATGGTTCAAGAGAAGATACAAGCAATGTTAAGTTGGCCATCTCCTAAAAATTTGAGAAAATTATGAGGATTCTTGGGCTTGCCCAAATATTTCTGAAATTTTATTGTCCAGATGATAACATGACTAGTGACCTAACAACTTAAAAAGATGCCTTCCTTTGAGGGATAATTGTTGAGGAGGCTTTCTAACAACATGATATTTCTATTTATCATTATTTTCTTGATAAATAATATGAATTTAATACCTTTTATCATGATCTCAATTTATTTTTAAATTTCATAACTATATTTTCTATTTATAATTTTTTTTTGGGGCTAAATCCTTTTTGTAGATTCACAATATAAAATATGTTTGGCTAAAAGAGAAGAGTAATTTAGTCTTTATACATTAACAAACTAATCCTAGGTCATCATGTCCCACTTCATACCATCAAATTTTTGTCGTTGTTAGGGATGATTATCATTAGTTTTACTTCTAGTCATGTTTGACAAGCCTATTTGAATATTAGTAATCTTTAGTTTAGGTGAAAAAGTAAAAGCAATAAAAAAATCAAACAAATTAAAGAACAAATAATAAAGAATAAAAATAAAAAAAATAATTTTAATTTTAACTTTTTGTTAGTTACATGAATTAATCTTATTTCTTTCTTAGTATTTACTTTGTTACTTCTTAGTTCTTGAATTTACTTAATTATAGTATTTGTAGATTTTCAATTAAAATATTTACTTATTTTTAAATTTATAATTTTAAAAAAATTCCAAGTTTTTTTAATTGCATTAATTTCCTTTATTTGTTACTATTAAAGTCCGGATTTTTTTCTTTCCTAATTTTTAGTTTTTTTATTTTATTTGAAAATTTTCTTTAATTAAATGATTTTATTATTTTTAGTTATAGAAGGTAGGTTTTA